CGCAAAGAAAGTGCCCAAAAGAGAGAGAGAGAGAGAGAGAGAGAGAGAGAAAGAGGGGAAGGAAAAATAAACAAGAAGGAAAAGCATTTGACTTAGAGCTACACCCAAGAGAAGGGGAGGGACTCGGTAAATTACTCTTTGACTTCAGTTGGTATTCTGATTGCGGCCTTTGCATGCGGCCTGGGGCGTTTTTCCCAGGCGCGGTTTCTTTGCCCCGAACCCCTTTGCTCGCTGTTGCTGGAGGTGTGGTGGGTGCTTCGTGGCACACGCCGTTCAGGGCATGGACGCCTTCGGCAGCCTGCGTCACAGGCGCATGTCCTTCAGAAAGCCTTCCTGTGGGTGCTAATCTTGTGTTTGGGTGCTCAGGGGCAATTTAAATCCAGACAGGCTGGAAGCCACGGTGCGTTGCTCTGCTTTTTTCGCCGAAGAATTGCGAAATAGACTTTCTTGTACTTTTTTCCCGAGCGGTTTGCTTTTACGCCTGTGGTCTGACTTGCTGTGGGAAATCAACAGGATCTTCTTGCCTGTTTTCAAGAGCTGAATTTTAGGTTTCCTTTTTCGCTGGTTGGTTTCAGGCTGACCAAAGCAGACCTGGGTTCCCACGATGGGGTGTGGACTTCCTTGCCTGTCACTGCACTAACCAGCAAGGGAGCGGAGTGAGAGCTTTAAACCCCCCCGATAGATGGAGGTGAACAGAGTGGGCAGGGGGGGGGAGGCCACTCGCCATCTTTGTACTTTGGAACTTTTAGGGTGCTTGTTGAAACGGAGACATGGAGCGCTCTGTTTATTTTCTCTGGCCGCCTCTGAAGAATCCGCTCTGTGTAGCCTAAGCCGGGTTTGTATTTCTTTTGTGGTGTCTTTTCCGGTCGCTTCTATAGCAGGATGTGCTTCCTCATGCACCAAGCAAGGGGGTTTCGTTTACTCGCCTCTTCAGAGCTTCTTACAAACCGGAGAGACTGAACCCACTGCGAAATACGCACCAGGTGACAGGTTGGGGTATTTGTAAATCCTTCAAAGTCCAGCTCCTTCCAAAGGTAGATTTGAAGCTCCCCATTGGAGGTGGGTCTTCAGTTCCACTCATGGTTGCTATAATGTCCCAAAAACCGCAGCTAATCGTACCTTCCAAACCATCTTTCTCCAGCTTGTTCTGAATAACGGTATGGAGGCTAATATTGATGATACCTGGCCGCGTTTGGAAGGCCTAGTTTGCTTAGGACAACTACAAAAAACGAAGGGTCCCAGGGACCCTGCTTGTCAAAGCGAAGCTGCAGTGGCGTTCACCAAGGTGGCTGGTCCCCTTGCGATCCTGGGGGACAGCCGCTTACCTGAATTTTGAAGCAGGACAATCGTTGGATTCCTTTTTCTTTTTTAAGTGTGGACATCACATTCACCCTGGTCCGAATTGTAATTGTCTCGTTACAAATCTCTCCTGGCCTCTTCCCCAGAGAAGCCCTGTCTTCCTTCAACGTCCAGTTGGATCTGGGTTGATGCTCCTGGCTGGGGGGATTCTGGGGGGTGAAGCCCAGACACCTCCCAAGTTGTCAAGGTTGACAATCACTGGCCAGGTCAAACCTTGACCTTCGACTGCACAAGCTCCTGATTTTTGCAATGTTAGAGATCAGCAATACCCTCCCCACCCCTGGCCTTCAGGTGGGAGTGCTTGAAGGGGGTCTCCTCCCTATGGCAGGGGAAGGAAGGTGTGGCTTTCAAAAGCAATTAACACCAGCAATTAATAAAGTCAGTCAGTGAGCTGCAATACAGGATGAACAAGGAGGCCTCGGGATTTCCTTTTATCTTCTTCTCCCCAAACGGGGTTGAGGAAGCGTTAGGAAGCCTCTGAATTAATGAGCTCATTAAAACTAGGAAGTGCCTCCACATATGTGGCCCCCTCGACTTCCTCCCTCCCTCCCTCCCCCTCTCATTAAAAAAAGAAGCCCCCTCCCCCAGAATCACTTCAGGTTCCTTTTTCCTTCCAGCCAGTGTGCTAAAAAGTGAGGCAACATTTACGGCATATAATAATCAGCTTTCTCTCTCTCTCTCTCTCTCTCTCTCTCTCTCTCTCTCTCTCTCTCTCTCTCTCTCTCTCACACACACACACACACACACACACACACACTTCCCCGCCTTCCCCCGTCCAGCTTTATCCTAAGGAGAAGGGGCAGCTTTGGCATCTTGCAAAACCTAATTATGTAAAAGCACCGGCCTCAAAGCTTGGAAGGGGGTTGGAGCGGCCCTCTTTGGCTCTCGGGCAGGAGGCAAACCTGGTTCCGTTTCTCACGTGAATTCTTCCTTGGAACCCGGGTCAGGGCTCTCCAACCGTGGCCACTTCAAGACTGGTGGACTTCAACTCCAAAGCGAAGCTGTCTGAGGAATTCTGGGAGTTGAAGTCCACCCGTCTTGGCCTAGAGAGTCTTTGTGGTCATGGGACCATTTCCTACAAGCCCCGCCCTTCTCTATTATTATCTCTCTATATATTGTTTTCCAAAGGAGCCTGATCAAAAAGCTGCACTCCAGAGCCCAGGGCCACTTGGGGAAAAGAGTGCATGTCTAGCAGAACAACAGAGTTGGAAGGGACCTTGGAGGTCCTCTAGTCCAGCCCCCTGCTTGGGCAGGAAACCCTACACCTTTCAGGCAGTCGTCTAATCTCTTCGCCTCCAGTGTTGCAGCGTTCACAACCTCCGAAGCAACTCACCCTCGAGAAATTTCTCCCTAGGTCTAGCCAGGTCGCTCCTGCCCTTGGGGGATTCCTGGCCCGCCGGTCTGAGCTTCCCTGCGTGATTCCTGCTGAGAAGTGCAGAGACGGCAGGCCAGGTGGGAGCCTCCGTGTGGGTGGAGAGACAGAATAGATGCAAAAGAAACAGGAAGAAGAAGAAGAGGAAGAAGAAGAAACAACACATCAGTGGGACTGTGGCACATCAGCTCGAAACCTCATGCCCATTTTTAGAAATGCGCTCGGCTTCCTCACACTTGATGCTCCTTAATTTACAGGCTCCTTGCAAAAAGGGCACTTCCGAAATATTAAATTCTGTCGGTGTGACTTCATGCGTGCAGCATTTCAGCCACACCTAAAAAATGCATGCATATATATATATGAAAGCATCCTAATTCTCTCGTTCCTTGGCAGCTGAATTATCCTGGTTCTCCTCTCTCTGTCCTTGTGGCCGTGCATTCAGGGGGATGGTGGGAAGACCCCAGGAAGCGTTCAGCAAAGGAGCTTCTTTGCACTAATGAGCCATCTGCTCAGCAGCCTGCAAAATTTCCCCAGCCCCAGAGTCCTCCCCTCCTCCGGCTCAGCAGCCCCAAGGCCTGAGAATCCCCCGGGACTGCCCGGCAGCTGTCCCGAAGCAGCTGGGGGTCGCCGTCCCGTTCCCTGGCGGAGACCCCCTTGGCCCAGCCTTGCTAGAGGCAACCTGGGGCCCCAGAGGTCCTTAGGAGCAGCACCTGGCGGCCTGGCTTCCTCCCTGGGTAATTGCCCCGTCCCCGTTGCTCCCGGTCTGGCTCCGTGGCCCTGAGAGGCGGGCCTGCTGGCTCTCCAGCCAAGGAGAAGCCGCCCGTCCTTCACTCCCGGCCTTCCCAGGACAGGCCAGAGCATCTGGGTTGGTCTCAGCCGAAACGGGAAGCTCCTCCGTTATTCGGGCAAGAAGGCAGCCGGGGCTGAGCAGGATGTTTTGCGGTCCAGCATTCCTGACATCTGCCTTCTCCGCCCCCCCTTCAATCCTCTGCTGCTGATGGTCACCTGGTGTCGTCTTTCTTTAGGTCTGATTGCACAGTGTGCCTTCGCCCCTCCTCCCCTCCCCCTCGTTTGCCTGAGACACGGGATGGAAAGGGGGTCCCCGCCAGGCCCAGAATCCCACCCCCAACCGGGGAATTCCAAAGACCGAAATTCCAGCTCCTCCCCAGAAGAATCTTGGCCTCTGCCAAAAACTCCACGGAGCCGTGATGGGAGGTGGCGTGGCCCAGATAACCCTCCTGAGCAGAACCTGCTGTTCCCCTGTTTCAGTTTATATCCCCTTTGTCTTAAAGAAGGCCGAAGGAAGAGGGGTGCATTGTGCAAATCTCGGCTCAACGGGGACTGAGAAGCGAGACTGAAATAAACCCTGCATTGTTTTGCAGCCAGTTAACTCGTCCGTCCTTAACGGTTACAGCCGATCTCAAACTGGCGAATTGCAATCTTTCCTGCACCGCTTAAAATGGGAAAAAAAATATATGTTGCAAACATTGGACGGTTATTCCACAATATTTATTTTATATTCCAACAGCTGGCGATTTGGGTGCTTGCTTTTGAGTGAGTCAGCGGGCCCCGTTTATGTCCCCGGTAACAATTCTGAGTTAATGCTGTTTGCGGTTTTCGAGGTGTTTTTGTTTGACTATTATTGCAAGACTGTTGACATTTCTTCCAGTGAAAACAATTAACGTAGATTAAACAAAAATATCTGCTACAATCTGCCTTCTTATTTCGAGGGCAGCCATGCAAATATTGTTGGGTTTAAAATTTGAATAATAATCGGACAGATTTGGAAAGCCAGCATCTCAGGCCAGAAGGCATCCCCCCCACCCACCCAGGGAGCCTGTATTCTGGCCAGTTGGGATCCCCAGGGAGCAGTGCAGCTAGTCCTCGACTAACGACGGTTCACTGAGTGAGCGGGGGAAGGCAGATTCGCTTAACGACCGTGTCGCTAACTTAAGAACCGCAGGGATCCGCTTAACAAATGGGGCAAGAAAAGCTATACAGTGGGGCGAAACCAACACATTTCTCACTTAACGACCTAAATTCCAGGCTCAGCTGTGGTCGTAAGTCGAGGACCAGCTGTAAGGGGTTGGGGAGGCTGCCCAGAATTAGGGAGTTGGCCTCCCAAATGCCAGGGGGGCTTCCTGTCCGGGGGGTGGGGAGCTGAATCGCAGGCCGGGGCCTCCCGCTGGGCAGTTGGGCCGTTTCCCCCGGGAGGAAGTTGGATCCCGGTCAAGGACAGGTGTTTGTTCCCCCCCCCTCCCCCCCGCAGAAACGATGAGGCGAGTGGTACGGCAGAGCAAGTTCCGGCACGTCTTCGGCCAGGCGGTGAAAAATGACCAGTGCTATGACGACATCCGGGTGTCCCGAGTCACGTGGGACAGTTCCTTCTGCGCGGTCAACCCCAAGTTCGTGGCCATCATCATTGAAGCCAGCGGGGGAGGGGCCTTCCTGGTTCTGCCTTTGCACAAGGTGAGTGAGGGGGCTATTCCCATCCCCCCGCCCCCGCCCCTCCCGCCCCGGTTGCTGTCCTGTTGAACGTCGACCCCGTAGCTTTAATGTGCCCCCTCGTTGCAAGACGCCCGGATTCCCTCTCGGGCCCTCGGCCTGCTGAGCATGCAACCCGCACGAAGGGGGGAACCGCAGGGCTTGGAAGGTTGGTGTGTCATAGCGACCTAACTACCGACCCTGGCCCCTCGGTCCGTTGCCTGACATGCCTCCCCAGCGCAGTTCCTGAACCACCCCGGAGGCCTTCAGGAAGAGGCTGGGCAGCCACTGGCCTAGGGGAGGTTGGGCTAGATGACCTCCAAGGTCCCTTCCCACTCTGCCATTTTAGGTCGTGCGTAGGGCAGTGGGCCCTTTTCCTACCCAAAGGGCATATTTATCGCCCGAGGTTGGGGCAGAATCACCCCCCCACCCCTCCTCCCCCAAATCCTGCAGGTGGAAACGGTCGCTGCCCCTCTCGGAGACGGGGGGGGGCGATGGGGGAGGGTTGGCTCTTCCGTCCCTGGGCGGAGGAGGCCAGCGGGGATCGGTTCTCAGCAGCCCACATCCCTTTGCCGTGAGTCACGGAGCTCAGGCAGCCTCCCCCACCTCCCTCGCTGATCTCCGGCCCGGGGAGGAGCGAAGCTTCCTTGTTTGCTGCCAAGGCTGAGCCAAGAACTCGGCCAGGCTCCGAAATGCCTCTCGGGTCTCGAGACGGTGGGAGAGAGCGCGGCCTGGGCAGCCCCTCCTCACCTGCAGCCCTGGACCTCCGCACGTTATTTCTCCGGCCGGCCGGTCGGTGGTGGAGAGGGCTCGGGGCACGAGGCTCGCTGCCTCCTGCTGGGCTCTGGGAAATCACGGCCCTCCCCTGGCACAGCTGTAACTTTGGGTGGGTGCCTTGGGGGACTCTGGGGAGAGCGGGGTGGGTGGGTGCAGGGCCCTTTTCTGTGGGGCCGTGGCCGGCAAGGGCAAGAGGCTCAGTTCAGGCCAAACCTCCCCAGCCAGCGGCAGTCTTGGCCGTGCCCAGCCTGCCTGATGAGCCCTCTCCCCCCTCCTCCTCCCCCCCGGCCGAAGGAGGGAGGCTCCGGCAGCAGCCGCCGCCGCCTGTTTCACCACGGGGAGTGGGGTCTGCTCCTTGGGCCTGGCCCCCAGGCTTTCTGGCAGCCTCCTTTCCCTCTGGGCTCCTCCGTTCAGAGGAGAGGAGCCTCGCCTGCATGGGGCCTGCAGCATTTCCACGGAGGAGGAGGAGGAGGAGGAGGAGGAGAAGAGGAAGAATCCGTCTATCAGTTGTCAGGCCCTGGCAGTGGTTTTTACCATATATGGCCATCAGAGCTCTTTCGGCTGCAGCCGTCCTGAATAATATCCACCCTCCGCTTTGATTGGCCACTCGGAGCCCAGAGGATGGAGGGAGGGTTGGCTCGGAGCTGCTGCGGCGGCGGCTGCTGCAGCCGCTTTGAGTCGGGGAGGAAGAGGAGGAGATGGGGGGGGGGGTTAGCTCTCTCTCTCTCTCTCTCTCTCTCTCCCTGGCTCTTTCCAAGGTTCTCCACCCTGCCCCCTCTGGGCACCAGCTGGGCTCAGCCTGGGGAGGGCAGCCCAGGCGGGGCACATGGGCTCTGCCTAGAATGGCAAGGCAGGTGGGGAAGGGCCCCCGTCCCCCCCCAGTGTCCCCCCTGTTCCAGGAAGGAGGCCGGAATAGCAGCACGTGGGCACCGGCCTGCTCAACCCAGGCGGTCCTTCCTCTTGGCAGAGGCCTTTGTCTCCATAAAACAAAGGAACCTGGGGCAGGGAAGTGGAAGGGAAGCGAACGCCCAGCAGACCCGAAGGCGCATCGGTAGCCCAGCTCCCCCCACCCCCCCGCCAGAGTCTGGGCCTCGGATTTCTCCCAGGCTGGGAGGACTTCAGTTCCCAGAATCCCCTCTGGGGATTCAAGGGGGCTCCCCTGGTTGGGCGCGGCCAGGTTAAAGGAAAGCCGGCGGCAAGTAGAGAATTCTCACCTCGCACAAGGCAGCACAAGCCCTAATTGGTGGCTTAGCGCCGTGTTTCTCAGCCCGGGTGGCTTGAAGGCTCCAGCTACCAACGAAGAGCCCTGGCTAGTCCATGGAAGTAATAAAACGGTCGGAAAGCCCCAGAAAGGTTTTCCTTTCCAAGCCAGACCTTTGCCTTTTGGGTGGAGCTCCTCGTAGGCTTGGATTTTTCTTCCCGTTTCCCTTTCCTTGGTCGGGGAGCCTCGGCCAGGAGCTCACGGTTTGCCTTCAGCGTTACTCTGCAGGTCCAGGCTCTCCCTTTTGTCCTGGAGCCAAGAACTGGCCTGTTCTTGAAAAACCTCCACCTTGCGAGGGGCCGAATCGGGCCAAGAGTCCGGCTCCATCCTTACTCTTCCTCCCCCCGAACCATTTCCCTTAAATCAATGAACGAGTCGATGCACAAGGACACCGAAGAGTTGGCGGTGTCGGAAAGGCCCCGTGTGGGTCTCACCACGAGGATGTGGGCTGCGCCGTTTGTAGCCTTGGACAAAAGCGGCTTTGGGCCCTGCGTGCGTGAAGTTTAGTTCTCCCCCCCCCGCCCCCCCCCTGTTGTGGCTTCCAAAAGATCCAGCTGGCAGTTTCCACAGGAAGCGTGTGCAAGTTGTGGCCTGCCTTGCGGAGGGTGGGGGCCATTTGGTGGTGCTGGGAATTGCTCAGCTGTCCCTCCCGCTTCTGCTTTCACCCCCCCCCCAGTGAGGAAAGGCTGGGGGGATTCTGGGAGTTGGTCCGCCTCTCCTGAAGCTGCCACCGTTGAGGAACCTTGCCCCTTAGTCTGGCTTCCCTCCCTCCCTCCCTCTCGTATCTCTCAAGCTGGGCGTGCCAACCTAGGTGTGCCTCCCTCCCTCCCTCCCTCCTCTCCGATCTGGCCTGCTCCTCCCGGCCCCCGAGAGAGCCTGGACCCTCCTCGGTTGGCCCCCATCTCCAGAGGGGGAGGGAGGGGGAGGGAGGGAGGGCGCGATGATAAGGCCTGTTCAGGGTCTCTGCAGTAGCTGGGATCCTCTCCCCTCACAAGGCTTAAGCCCAGCCCTCCCCCCATTGTGCAATGGCAGCGCCTCCTTATCTCAAAGGGGGGGGGGGGCTGGGCTTAGTCATGGTGATCCCGTCTCCCGGATGATTAATGGCCATTTGTCATGGGCTGAATTGGCGGCAGGGCCTCTCCGTTGAAGCCTGGTGCCTGGGCAGGAACCATCTGGGCCTTCTTGGTAGATTGGGGGGGGGGAGAGGGGGGGGAGGCTTGCTAGAAGATAAGTGGCCAGCTGGAGTCTCTGGCCTTGGGGGCAGCGGGTTGGCGGCCTCCAGAGAGGCACCAGGGAGAGGTGGTCCCACGTTGCCTTTCAAGGCCGCTCCTCTGGGGTCCGGCATCCTCCGCTCCGTCTGGTAAAATAAAACACACGGGGTGGGGTCCGTGAGCCGCCGTCACACCTTCTCGGAGCTTCTGCTTCCCTTTTTCTGGACTTGGATCCAGAAACGGACTCGGGACAGATTTCCCCGGACGGGCCTTGGGAGCCCTGGGCAGAAGAACGGCAGCCACTCTGCAGGGCTTGGCTGAGCCGCTCGGGGGGCAGATGGGAAGCCCCGGGTAGAAGGAGTGAGACGCCTGCCTCTTATGCAGCTCACCGACCCTGCGTCCGTCTGTCCGTCCGTCCACCCATCCATCCGCCCACAGCCTCTTGCATCTCTGCTGTGGTCCCTCTGGGTGGTCCCTCTGTGGGCGAATGGCCCTGGAGTGCTGCCTGGCAGCTGTGCCCCCCCCCGCCCCGCCCTAATCAGGAGAGGAAAGCAGTGGGGGCTCCTGGGCCTCTCCAAATTACAGGTGCCTCTGGTTCTCCCCCCACCCCACCCCCTACCCCAGCTGGGCAGCTGCCTGGCTTCCGATTTTGACCAGCAGTGCCAGGGCCAGACCGTGGTTTGCAAGAAGCCACGGTTTTAGCACGGCCTCCAAAGCCTTTTTGTACGGTGAACTTGGGGTTTCCAAGGCTGACCTTCCCAGTGTTGGCTGCGCAGTCGCCCAGGCCGCCCTCCAAGGGTCATTCCGCACAGGGAGCAGGAAGAACTTTTCTCGGGAAGCCCAGCCGTAAACATGAGCCCGAAGGGTGTGCCGGTCCTTCTGTGGACGGGATGCAGCCGCCTGAGCTCCTCGCAAACAAGCGTTGGTGAAATGAAGCTCGCGGTGCTTTTCCGGAGAGCTGATGCGTTCGGACAGGGGTGGTGGTGGGAACTTTTGCAGGGAGACCCTGGTTTAATGATGGAGCCCCCTCTTCGCTTGCCAGAGTCCCCCGATTGAGCTCTCGGGGGTCCCCAACGCCGCAGATCAAGGAGGGAGCTGCCGAGGAGCCGTTTTTGCTAACCCCGCTTGGCCCGCCTGCGACTCGGCCTCTGGCTGACGGCCTCCTTTCCTCCCCCTCTCCAGACAGGCAGGATCGACAAGTCCTACCCCACCGTCTGTGGCCACACCGGGCCAGTGCTGGACATTGACTGGTGTCCTCACAACGACCAGGTGATCGCCAGCGGCTCGGAGGACTGCACGGTGATGGTGAGTGGGGGCGGGGGGGGGGCTCGCTTGGGGTCTCTGCGGCTGTGCCTTGCTCACTCAGGTGGCGTTTCCCAGGCAACTGCCAGGCCCCCCTCAGCAGGTGGTTCATTCAGGGCTGCCTGGACGTGGCCAGAGTCGAGCCCCAGAGCGGGAGACGGGCAGCTGTTCCTAGTCTGGGCTGCCTGGGGGGGGTGGGTGGGGGTGGGTGGGGTGGCAGAAACCGTGCTCAGTGCCTCGGCCTGGTGACAGAGATCCTTGCGTCACGCTCAACGGAGCCTCCGCTCCTCCTCCCGGGGGAAGCAAGCATGATGGGCAGCCCTCTGGCCCTCCCGCAAGGAGGTGTTTGGCCGGAGCTTAAGCCGGGACTCTCCAATCTTGGCAACTTTTAAGGCACAGGGACTTCAACTCCCAGCATCCCCCAGACAGCGATGAGTACTTTTTAAAAAAGGGGGGGAGGGGTGTTAATGTCCAAATGTGTCGTTGAGGCTGTTGGTCATTGGCTGCTGAGCATGCAGGGAGAAACAGGGCGCCAGAAAGGTGACTAAATCCTCCCTGGCTCACGGTTGATGTGTGAACGGGGGCTAAGCAGTACGTGGAACGGAAAACGGAAGCCCCCTCCCACCAGAGGAAGGCAGGACGTGGGAAGCTGGGAAGGGTGTTTAGCAGAGGCTTGACAAGAAAATGTGCTGGGAAGCAAGGAAGAGCCCTCAGAGGCAGCAGCCCAGGAAGGGGGAGAAAGTCCAGCCTGAAAAAGCTCCTTCTGGCCAAACTGTGTTTGGCCTGGCAACACCCCCGCCCACCCCCCACCCCCCCTTCCTCAGCAGCCTCCCGGAGGCCCACTCGCCCCCTTGGCCTCCTTCCTTCTCTCGGCAGGTCTGGCAGATCCCAGAAAACGGCCTCACGCTGTCCCTGACGGAGCCTGTGGTCATCCTGGAGGGCCACTCCAAGCGAGTGGGCATCGTGGCCTGGCACCCCACCGCCCGCAACGTGCTGCTCAGCGCAGGTAGGCCGAGGAACAGGGTGCGGTGGGCCAGGGTGGGGCCTTCAAGGGAATTGCTGAAGCCCCAGCGCTGGATCCGACCTCAGCAGGCAGTTACCGGTGCTGCTGCCTCAGCCTCTTCCTCCTCCTCCTCCTCCTCCCCCTCCTCCTCTTCCTCCCCCTCCCCACCCCCCCAGGCTGTGACAACGCCATCATCATCTGGAACGTGGGCACCGGGGAGCCCCTCATCAACCTGGACGACATGCACCAGGACATGATCTACAACGTCAGCTGGAACCGCAACGGCAGCCTCATCTGCACGGCCTCCAAGGACAAGAAAGTCCGTGTGATCGACCCCCGGAAGCAGGAGATTATGGCGGTGGGTCTCCCGGGGGGGGCGGGGTTAGGCTTTGCGGGGGGGCCAATCTTGGCAGGGAGAATTTCTGGCCGCCTGCTGCCCTTGCAGCAGAGTACAGAGTTCCAAGGCCCATCATCCTTGTCCTCGCCCTGCCCGGGAGCCAAGTTGGAAGTTGTGGCCATTTCGTGCTGTTGGGAATGTGACTCTCCTCCTCCTCCTCCTCCTCCTTTCCTCTCTCGCAGGAGAAAGAGAAGGCCCACGAAGGCGCCCGGCCGATGCGAGCCATCTTCCTCTCCGACGGCAGCGTTTTCACCACGGGGTTCAGCCGCATGAGCGAAAGGCAGCTGGCCCTCTGGAACCCGGTGAGTGTCCCTGGGGAGCCCCGTGGCTGCAGGGCCCTCCAACCGTGGCCGCTTTAAGACTGGATGGGGAACTCTGGGAGTTGAAGCCCACCCGCCTAAAAGCGGCCAAGGTTGGAGGGCCCCGCCCTAGACCAATGTGTCTCCGCCTTGGCCACTTTAAGGCGGGTGGACTTCAACTCCCAGAGTTCCCCAGCCAGCCAGCCACGTTTCTGGCAGCTTAAACATGGAGAGGACCTTCGGAGGAACCTTTGGGTTAGGAGCCTCGTTCTGGAAGCGGCTCCCCTTCCGCTAAAAGGGGCTCTTGTCTTGCAGAAAAACATGGGTGAGCCCGTTGCCCTCCATGAAATGGACACCAGCAACGGCGTCCTGCTGCCCTTCTACGACCCGGACACCAACATCCTTTACTTATGCGGGAAGGTGAGCCAAAATAATAATAATAATAATAATAATAATAATAATAATAATAATAATAATAATAATAATAATAATAATAATAATAATAATAATAATAAATAATAATCTGGATCGTCGACATTGCCATACCTGGTGACAGCAGAATCGAGGAGAAAGGAACTTGGGCAAACCCACCAGATATCAGGACTTGAGAATCGAACTGCAGAGACTCTGGAATAAACCAGTGCAGGTGGTTCCAGGGGTACTGGGCACACTGGGTGCTACTGTGCCTAAAGACCTAGGCAAGCACTTAAAAACAAAAAAACAAAAAAAGATTTTTCACTCTTACGACTGTTGTAGCATCCCCCTTGTCCAAATCCAGGCACTTTGGTCACTGACTCCTATTTACGACAGTCGCCGCGTCCCAGGGGGTCATGTGATCCCCTTGGGCGACCTCCTGGCAAGCAAAGTCAATGGGGGGGAGTCGGATTCCCTTTACAACCATCAACACCTGCGGTGCTTCACTTAACAACAGTGGCCAGAAAGTTCGCCAAACGGGGTAGAAGCTCCCTTAACGAAGGTTTTGGGCTCGATTGTGCTCGCAGGTCGAGGGCTGCCTGTATATAGATCCCCCCTTTCACCCCCCCCGCCTGGCTCTCTTCCCCCCCCCCTGCAGGGCGACAGCAGCATCCGCTACTTCGAGGTCACGGAGGAGCCTCCCTACGTCCATTACCTCAACACCTTCAGCAGCAAAGAGCCCCAGAGGGGGATGGGCTTCATGCCCAAGAGGGGCTTGGATGTCAACAAGTGTGAGATCGCCAGGTGAGGACGGGGCTGGGCGGGGGTCCCGCGCGGACGCTCTTCTTGGCCCCCTGGAAGAGACCCTGCCGTGTCAAAGGCTACGCAGGGGAGCGCTGGAGGGGAACCCTCTGCGTTAGGCACCGGGACGGCGGGGCTCCCTCCGTCTCTTGGCTTTGGGTTCCTGGCCAGGTTTCTGGTCCCCAGGAAGGCCGGGGGGGGGGGGGGAAGAGGATGCCCCTCCCTCTGCAGACGTCGCTGACATGGTGGCTTGTCCTCTCAACTCCTCTCCCAGGTTCTTCAAGCTCCACGAGCGGAAGTGCGAGCCGATTATCATGACCGTCCCCAGGAAGGTGAGCCCCGGTTCTTCTGGGCCTGGGAGAGTCAGCAGGGCAACTGACCGGGTTGACGCCTGTTTCTTTCCCTCCTCCTCCTCCTCCTCCTCTCCCAGTCCGACCTCTTCCAAGATGACCTCTACCCGGACACAGCTGGGCCCGAAGCCGCCCTGGAAGCCGAGGAGTGGTTCGAGGGGAAGAACGCTGACCCGCTCCTCATCTCCCTGAAACACGGCTACATCCCAGGGAAAAACCGGGACCTCAAGGTGGTCAGGAAGAACATCCTGGACAACAAGCCGGCTGCCAACAAGAAGAGCGATCTCATCAGCACCCCAAAGAATGCGCCGGACACCTCAAACCCCGTGAGTATTAAAAAAAAAACACAAAATAAAACCCCCCGTCCTTCTGCACCGGACGGAATTGTTCCGCTTCCTCACCTGTGGTCCAAATCCATCCTTTTCTGTCAGCCTCGGCCGCACTTAGCCGAGCTGGGTTGGGGCTTCCCCTCACCCGTCCCCCTCCCCATTCTGGGCTCTTCCCACCCCCCCGCTTCAGGACCGACCTTTTCGCCTCTTTCTCCTTGTCGCAGCAAAACGAAGCCAAATTGGAAGAAATCTTGAAAGAGCTCCGGTCGCTAAAAGACACAATCGCGCACCAGGACGAGCGCATTTCCAAACTAGAACAGCAGGTGGCGAAGATGGCCGTCTGAGAGCCAGCTGGGGGGGAGGGGAGAGGGGGCTTCTGCGGCAGGGGGAGGAGGAAGCAGTTCGGACTGTGAGCCACCTGCAGGGCTATGGAGAGGGAGGGGCCCAGCCAGCCGGCCCAGCCCAGCCCCGCCCCGTCGCGGCTGGTCAGCAGAAGTGCCCGGCAGGGCAGAGCCAAGTCCTTCCTAGCAAGCAGCCCCTCCGTGTGTCCTGACATCTTCCTGGCCAGAGCAGACACTGCCGCCTCCTTCCTCACGCCTGTCCATCAGCCGGAGGGTCAGCCATTCCACGGGACCCGCAAGACGCCAGCCGGAATCCCTGCGGAACTTCCTAGAATCGGGGACCAAAATTTCTTGGTTTCAAAACACACACACACACACACACAGACACACACACATTTTTTTCCCTTTTACTTTTGAGTTGCCAAAATCCAAAACTTTTTATTGTTTTAATTTTTTTTTCCTTTCTAGCATTTTTACAGTATTTTGTAAAAGGTTGTTGCGTATTTGTGCCATCTGAGCAACAAATAAGTTGTGTATGACTGTTTACTTTCGAGCACCCGGTGCAGCCGCATCACTGCCGGTTCCGGAAGACCAATTTTAATGTTCCTGCCCTCCCGATTTCTGGCTCCCCTGAAACTTGCGTGGATTTGAGGGCGGGGAGGCGGCCTTGCTTTCGCACCCGCTGCCGTTCCAAGGGACTGAACCCCCCCACCCCCCACCCCACTTCCCCCAGAGCGTCTTCTCTCAAAGCCGGGGAGCCTTTATGCCAACATGGGTTGAGCTTTCGTTTAATCTTAATCATTGTGTCAAACGTTGGCATGCTGTGATTGCTGATTTCTGCCTCCATGTTTCCTGCAGATGTTTGTTCTATTTATCATCCAGGTGTTACAAGGTTATAAAAAAAAAAAACCGTGATGAATTTGGGACATTAAGGACAAATGCACTAAATTTTGCAAGCTGTTGGGAAGGTCTCCGAAGTTATTTACATGCCCCTCCCTCCCTCCCTCGCTCTGCTCCAAGCTCGGGCTGATCCCCCAACCCTCAGCGTCCCCCCTCCTGGTCGCACAAGGCCCTTCAGCTGCGAGAGACACCCAGGGCTTGGGGGCAACTGAGGCGTCCAGCTTGGCCGGCCGTCCTCTGCAGCAGCAGCTCCATGGGCAGCCGTAGGCATAGGATCCCGGACAGTCCCCCCCCCACCCCCGCTCTGCCAAGGGGCTTCCCAGTTTAAGTGAGGGTTGACAGGCGAGGGGTCCAGTGGCGCTCACAGATTCCTTCTGGGGGTCTCGGGGATCTTGTCCGGGACACCCCAACCTTCCCAGGCCTTCTGGAAGTGCTGGGGGATTTTTCCTGTTTCCTCAAAGGGGGATCCGGGCTTCACTAGGCCCTTGGATGGACTCTGGGAGGCCCCAGGATGTTTACAGAGGTGGTGGGTGCAACTGAGGGTGGCCTTTCCGTCAGGCAGAAGAGTTTCCCGCTGCTGGCTTCTTCCGAATGCAAAAGTGGATCTCTGAACAGAAGGGGGAAGTCCCTTCCTTCCTTCCTTCCTTCCTTCCTTCCTTCCTTCCTTCCTCCCTCCCTCCCACCCAGAGACCTGCCTTCGTGAAGCGCCTGGCCTTGCTCAGAAGCGACCCCTCAGCTCTTCCCACCGGGTGGGAGCCAAATGCCACAGGGCTGTGTACAGGTTGCTGGGAAAGCAAAAGATGGCAGCCTTGGGGGGGGTGTGTGTGTGCCAGAGGATGGGCCCCAGAGGCAAAATGCCAGAGGGATTCTGGGAAGGTGATGCTGTCAGAAGTCCCTTCAGGAACGGCCCTCATGGGGACTAGAAGCCTGTCATACAGCTTGGAACATGGGGATTGTTGCAAGTAGATTTGGGCACTAAAGGCTAATTTGTGGATGGATGTTTCTCATCCACTGTCTTGGGCTAGGATCCCTGAGGTGGTCGTTAAAAAACCCAGAAAAGATTAGAATGCGTTGTGCCTCCATCCATGCATCGGTGTGGGAAAAGAAGTCATGCGGACAGATAAGAGAAAGTTGGCAGGAAATGGGTTGGAGGCAAAGACCCAACAAGATAAGATAGTCTCGAATGAAGACACAAATGAGTGGGAAAGTTAACGAACGTTGGTGGGGGTGAATCCTGAGTTGGGGGAGTTTGGTTCTCTTGTGCTGGAGACGGGCAAAGAGTTTTCAAAAGAAGGAAGGGCGATTTGCATTTTTGCCCCCGTTAGTTTCGCTGCCAAACTAAGTTTTTCCAACTTGGCATCTTCCGGACTGCAGCTCCCAAGATTCCCAGCCGATGCCACAGAATTCTGGGAATTGTAGTCTAGAATGGGCCTCCGACCTTGGCAACTTGAAGACTCCCGGCAAAAATGGCCAGGGTTGGAGACCCCTGCTCCAGAAGATGGAGAAAGGCATTACGTACACCAGGCCAGCTTCACCCTTGGGCGTGTTGTGTGTTCACAGTCAGCAGGAGGTGGGGGACCAGGGGTGGGCAATTGAGGCCTGTGGGCTTCACCTCCCTGAGCCAGCCAGAATCCTGGGAGTTGAAGTCCACAGGCCGCGAAGGGGCCATCGCTGCGCACCCCTATTGGAGACGGGGGGACCGAGGTCCTTCTCTTTCAGAATCGTGCAGGTTTCCTTCTGCCCCGACAGGATTAGTTTCCCCCGTGTGATTCTTGCACTTTCCCAAGAGCTGCGTGGGTGGAAGTCGCTCGGACGCTTCCTGGGCCGTCGATGATTTATGTCATGGGACGGGTGACGCTGAGCCTGCAGCTTCTTGCCCCCTAGGACACGGCCAGCCACGGTCCCCGAGGGGATGCGCTGGTAGAAGACACCCCACATACACAATCGTGTCGTGTCCAAATACTTGCTTCCAATTTCAAACGATTAAAAGGAAATTGCCAAACCCACACCGTGAACCAAGTGCTCTCCGTTATTTCGTTTTCTTGCGTGAAGGTGCCCAATTGACCCTACTTGACCTCTGCAACACCTTGCTCTGAAAGAGGCTACTGGGAGTCCTGGGGTGGGTGGGGGGGTCAAACTACGTCTTCCCTTTCAGAGTTGGCAGGTGGAGACCTAGTTCCAGGGTGGGCTTTTGCGACAACAAAAAAAGAGTTGACTTTGTCCTGCCTTTTGACCAAAGGCTGAGACCTCCTCAGGATGCCTGTTTTGGCAAAAGGGGCCAAGATCCGTTTTCTGCACCCCAAGAGGAACACGCTTGAGAACACCCTGTGGAGACTCAACTAAAACTCCAAACTTTCCAGAGGAGGAGGATGCTGCGTTCGTCATTCTCTTGAGTAAATCAGACCAACGTGGATTAAATCGATTCCGCTGGGTTTGCTGTTGGCCTCCAGCCCCGCATGAAACCAACTCACAGCTTCAGGTTGAGCTGGTTGGAACTCCCCTTCCTCACACCACTTCCTGAGCCTGGAGGATGTGGGGACCACGGCTTGTGGGGAAAGGTTCACCGGCTCTGAATGTGGGAGCGCTGTTGGCCGAAAGAGTGTAGGCGGTCCTCCTCTCCTCCTGCCCCCCCTCCTGCCCTTCCAGAAGTGGCATGGGAGCAAGGCCCGATGGGGGCCCTTGGGGGGTCTTCTGCAGGCTTTAGGCCTCCTTGGGCTGAGCCTCCGTGTCCATGAAGAGACGCGTCCCATCCAGATGTTTCCCACTGAGCCTTAGCTGGCCCGGCACCTCCTCAATGCAGAGAAACCGAGCACAGAACCACAACACCCCCCACCCCCACCCCGGTCCTGATCTGGTGCAAAGCCTCCTAACCGCAGCTCTTCTCTTGCCGCCCATACACAGAGCCTCCTTCCTCTCCCCACAAAGGAAGCTGCATCATGGGTCTTCCAAACGGCTCTTCTGATTTCACATTCGCACGCTGCCCGGCACACGGTTCCCGTTTTCTCTCGTAGCAGGTAAGCTGGACTCGGACTAGGAGAACCCGGCTGCTAGAAGAAGAGCCGGGGCTAAGGGTGGCTCCTGTCCCCCACGGATGTCTTCTCCGGCAATTGGACCGAACAGCGGCTTAAAGTTCCTGGCTACGTTTCCTTTTTGGGTGGTAGCTGAGGTGGCTGGCTAAGGGGAGGGGGTGGGGGGAGGACATTGTGGTGGTGGGTGATGGTGGTGGGGAGGAGCAGCAGCCTCGGGTTCTGGTGAGGTTTAGGCTCCTGGAGGCCAACTGGACTGCCGAAGGTGTGATCCAGAACTTCCTTCCCAGGGATGGGGCTGGTTGAAAGTGGCTTTGGGGTCTCTGCTTTAGAGAAGACGAACAAGCCAACCTCACTTCGTTTGTGCGGTGCTCCTTCCGTACGTGGGTTTGTGCAAAGAAATCGATGCTTGGAGATACGGCGACAACTTTGCGCCCTGAAGATCTTCATCTGCTCAACTGGCAGCAGTCGCTCGCTCAGTTTCTGGCTGCTGGGGCCACTACGGAAATTAGCAAGTGGGGCACAACCAGATTGCAAGGACGGATTGCAACTTGTGGTAAACTCATAGGAAACTTTCTTAGTCAGTCCTCCTCCAGAAAGGTCTGAAGTTGAGATTCTGAGCTGCCTGTTCAGCTTCCTTGCGTGTCCTGTCTGTCGTCGCTGTGCAAGGCTGCCCCAAAATAATCTCCGTGGGGCTTGGTAATGTAAATATTGGTACGACTGATGATGCGTCCCTCTGGCGAGCATCTCTCTTGAGCCCCGTGAAGCAAGAAGAGCCGTTCTCAGAAATGAGGATCTTCAAATGGGAGGGAAGGTGGCTCCTAAGGGTTCCCTTTCTTGACCTTGTTTAATTTTTCGTCAAGGCCCATTGAGATGAAAGACCTTTTCCTGCCCTGTTTTCACTAGGTAAGTGGGATGTTGAGCTCCGTGCTTCCCTGACTTCTTAGCTATGCCGGAGATGTTTTTGTGAAGGAAAAAGTAGAGGGGGACGATTTGCGTGGACGCCCGATAACCTGCCTCTTTCATTTTCTCCTACTTGCACCAGGCAAGATGGCTTCCTGGCGGACCTTCTGGGCCTTGGTTCTCTCAGGCTTCTTCCTGGCTGGCGATTTCAAGAGTATACAAGATGGCGCCAGCACGAAGAACGCGGAGACTCCTGCCCACGTGAACGACTGGAAGTGGAAAGCAACAGCTGAACAGGATCCAGGGAAGAAACGTGCCGAAATGCCTCCTGCCCTTCCAACAGCTTCAACCCTCTTGATGGCTCTCCAGGAAAAGACCATCTCCTTTGCCATGGAGACCATGACCAAAATTGCATTCACTCCAAAGAACGTACTGCCAGAAACCAAAAGTCAGGCTAAATCAAAGCATCTCCCCCTGGAAATTACTAAACCGTGGCCGTGGCTGGTTGAAGTCACCTCCAAACCCACCCAGGCACCTCTTTCCACAGTGTCATCGGGGCAAGACACTGAGACTGCTGGACCTGTCTCCAAAAGAAAAGATAGCTTCCATTCTTCGTTCAAAAAAGTCACACCTAGTTCGGCCGTCTTGGACGATCCATCTACTGCTTCCCCTCACGATCTGACTGATAATTCAGGGTTTTCCACAGCTACCCAGAAGCACCCACCTAAGGACTTAAAGTCAAAAATAAAGCCTCCTCTCATAACAGCTACATCTGCAACTCCACAACATCTGGATGAAATCCTGTCTACATCTCAGACTTTGGTGGACAACACAGAGTTTTCTGCGGCCACCCAGAAGCACCCACCTAAGGACTTAAAGTCAAATATAAAGCCTCCTCTCATAACAGCTACATCTGCAACTCCACAACATCTGGATGAAATCCTGTCTACATCTCAGACTTTGGTGGACGACACAGAGTTTTCTGTGGCCACCCAGAAGCATAGCTTGGGCTCAGGTAGGCCAGGCCTAAATCCAAGGGCAAGGCCTCTCCTTACAACATCCGAGCCCCATAAAACATGGAAAAGGCTGGATGAAATGGTTTCTACATCCTTGGCTTTTTCTACGAGGTCCCCAAGACGAAGCTTGGGTGCCACCACGTCAGGTTCCTCAGCCGTCACCCAAGGGAAGCCTCCCCTTGCCAATGATACCAGCCTCCTGATTGGAAAGTGTTTGCTGGCCATCCTTCTCCTGGCCCTGGTGGCCGCCATCTTCATTGTGTGCTCCGGTGTCCTGGCCATCATGCTGTGGCGCCAGAAGAGAGCCTATAGACTAGGCCAGGCCAACCACACAGAGATGGTGTGTATCTCGTCCCTGCTATCTGCCGAAAAAGAGGAGGAGGAGGAGGAGGAGGAGAGGAGGAGGAGGAGACAGTCCAAAGTGAAGCGGGTACAACTTCTCGGGGATACAGCGTCCGAGACGGAGGCGGACAACTTAACTCTGAACAGCTTCCTCCCAGAGCATTAATAGACATCTTTGGTTCATCTCCTTAGAGCCTCTTGATCTTCTCCAAGACTGTCTGTCATCTGCACCCTGGACTATATCTGTAGTACATCCCTCTCCTCCCATCTGGGTGGGCTCATTGCACGGACTCTTCCATTTGTTTGCCTGCTATACAAACCCAACGTTTATGTTCTGCGAACTGTCGTTTCTTGGAGAACTGTTGTGGCTTGTTAAACACAAGACTTAGCACAGTGTTTTTCTGCAGCCCTGCAGATCAAAGGAGAGGTGCTTGGAAAGGGGACATTCTGAAATGTGTAAATTATTTGTTTGTTAGATTTTTACTTGGTTTCCTCCCAGGAGCTCAAGGCCTCGGTCCTTTCTGTTGCTCCAGACCCTGAAAATCTTCAGCTACTCCTCTGCTACAGGAAAATCTCAGTTCCTTTTTTGAAACCATCATATCTAGAAAGTAGTAACTGAAGCGTGAAATCTCAGAACAGACCTAAACATTTCTGGCTTTTTTTTTGTATTTTACTAGAGAACTAAGATTTCTAGAGTGTTTTTGAGATGGGTTTATGTTTGAAATTGAGCTGACTGGAGTGGGAGGGGGGGGCAGTCTTACATAATCCACATTTAAAATAATTAAAACATTTTGAAACGCAACAGTGGTGGTAGCCTGCCTGGAACCAATTGGTCATTGCAGAAATATTGTATTCTGGGCTCATCCCAGATCCTGTTGGGGGAGGTTCAGAAACCGGAAAATCCCATTTCCCTATTCTGGGCTCCTTGTGGCTGGCTTGGATTTTGCTCTCAATTTTAAACTTTCTATTCTCTCCTCCAATTTTGCAACAAAACGTAAAGGGAACTCTTCTCTCCTCGTCCCTTCTCCGTTACCGTTTCATTCTTATTTCCATTTGAGAGGAAACCATCTTATCCCACCTCAAGTATTTATCTATCCACACTAACTCAGGCTACAGGGAAGGCCCGTCCCAATGGACTCCGATTCCATCATCCCCTGACCAGCTCTTCTCTTCGTGCATTTCGGGGTCCTTGTATCTACAAACTGCTCAGCCCCTCCTCACCTCCCCCCCCATCTTTCTCCTGGTTCCCTATTTCTGCTTCACTGTTTTGATTTCTCTTCCTCATTACCCAGACTTTGTCACCACCTGCTAGCCACAAACTCTTCTCTTTTTTTGGCACTCAGAAGGACTTGCTTTGCAGGAAAGTCCTTCGTTTTTCACCAGCTGGTCTCCAAATTTGAGGTGCAATTTTTTTTTAAACGTCAAAGCAAGCAACTGAGTTCCAAGCAACAGCCAAACCTTTAGCGTTAGAGATGGGCAGTTTTTCTAAAGAAAGCTTGGAGGTACTATTGCATGTTCCCTTTTCAAGATGCTTTCCTGCTGGTAAACTTGCAACATCAGCCCGAGAGGAAAAGATCTCGTTGGGTCTTTGGAGATGACTCACACGAGGCCAGGCCTGCCTCTGATGCAAACCTGGGACGGAAATGGGCTTTGCAGAACCCCTTCCCCCCCCCCGCCCCAAGGTCCCCCCCTGTGGTTAAGGTCTCGATTCTGCCAGGTGCCCAGAGAGGCAGAAGCTGGCCTGCTTTCAGGGAGAGAGAAGACTGCAGCTTTCAAGGGAGCCCCAAAGAAAGAAAGAAAGAAAGAAAGAAAGAAAGAAAGAAAGAAAGAAAGAAAGAAAGAAAGAAAGAAAGAAAGAAAGAAAGAAAAAGAAAGGGAGGGAGGAAGGGGGAAGGGAAGGGAAGGAAAGGAAAGGGAAGAGAAGGGAAGGGAAGGGAAGGTTAGTTGCTTGCAGGGTCCCGGAGTCACATGATCCCCTTTTGTGACCTCCTGCCAAGCAAAGTCAATGGGGAAGCCAGATCTACTCACAACTGCATTACTAAGTTAATAAGTGCAGTGAAGAACTGAACAAACATGGCAAGAAAAGTTGTAAAACGGGACAAAACTCACTTAAGAAACTCTTGCCTGGCAACATAAACTTTGGGCTCAGTTGTGTTCCTTCAAGTCAGGGACGCTCTGGACTTTCCTCTCCTCTTTCTGTAGCTTTTTGCCTGCAAGACTTTCCTGCCCTCCAGATCTTGGCCTTCATTTTATTTATTTATTCCATTGATTTGCTCCCTGCCGTCAGGCTCCCTTGAGCCACCCTTTTCCATCAGCTTTTTCAACCCTGGATTTGATTTGATGAAGAAAAGGACTTTTGGCTCCGGATGAGTCGTTGATTTGGATTGGAATCCTGCAAAACTGAAATATTCCTCTTTGCTGACTGACCTCAGAAGGGCTCATCTTGGAAATCCTTTTTTCCGCTTGTAGTGTCGGAGATCAGAAGGTTTTCGGCTTGGATTGTGAAATGTTCAGGGGTGTTGACAGACAAATATTTCATTGTGCAATTCTCTTCCTTTGCTTGCCTATGTTCTGGGCATAACCCTTCACTTGCAAATTTGTGGGAAATGCCATGTATCTCCTCCACTTCTGGATTTTTTTAAATATTCACTTTTTAAAAAGGACAAGGACCAAAGGACCTCTGGAAAGCACGGAAGGGTTCCCAGGTGGGTTGCTCTGATTTTACACCATAGCCCTCCTGGGGCTTCCCGGCCTGAAAAGGCTCCTCGGGGTTGTGATGCCTCTTCAACTACTAACATTTTGGGAGAAGCATTTGAAGAACGTGCCAAGGCCAACAACATAGTCAAGAGCACGGCTCTTCACGGCCACCAGAGTGCGCCCCAAACCGCCAGACACACAGCCAAGTGTTAGCATCCTTTCAGACCTGGCCTTTCGATCGCTCGATTTATATCCTACTTGTGGATATTTGTAAGTGTTAAAGTATTTTAAACACGCAGCCAGACATCTGTAGACGTGGATGCACACAGAACACCCTCGTTGTGCATCAGATCAGGAGCACGTTGGACACGGCACAGAATGCAATGGGGTTCATTGAGTCGTAGGTAGGGCCGAAATGTGCAGGAGTTGCCATCGGGGGTTATCCCCGGCTCGAGCAAGGTTGGCAAGGTGCTGGCATGAGGGGAGTCTACCTATCGTAAATCACTGGGATTTGACCCACTATTTCTCCCATCCCCCCACCTGTCAGGGAAAGCCCAGCAACCGCCTCTTTCTGCCTGGCTGCCTGGCTGCCTGCCTGCCAGCTCTCTTTGCCCCAAATACCGACCGCTGTCGCTGTTGCGAGGCGAGCCTCTGCTTTGTCTTGAGGATCCGAGGATCCTGCTGCGCTCCAAGTCCCGTCTTCCCTTGGCAGCTCCTGTCTCCTCCTTCCTTTTCTGTTGTTGATTTATCCCCGCTCTGCAATTCAAACCAGATGTCTGCTCCAGCCTAAGCCCCCATTCGTGCTGGCACAGAGTCTGCTTTGTCAAGAGGCCGTGTGGATCCTGGATCTTGCTGGGCCCCCTCCTTCCTTCCGGCCCTGGTGCCCCTTTTCGTGAACCACCAAGAGCGTGGAAATTGGCAGAGGATTGCTCGGGAGAAGGGCCCCGGGTGGGGGTGGCATTGTAAACAGAGGGAAAGAGTCACTGGGGATCAACATCCATGATTCAAAAGGAGCGTTTCCTTCCCCCTGGCATCCTGCATTTCCTCCTCTGCGGTGCAGCACAAGCAGGCATCATTTTCCAGGCGTTTATCTAAGTGGGGCACTTCCCTTGGCAGAAGTGGCCGGTGCCAACAAAGGTGCCTTGGATGCAAAAGGATAAAGGAGAGAAACGGGAAATGGAAGCGATGGACGCAGGAAATGCTGCCCATCCTCCACAGATTGCCGCACTGAGCTGAAGCTCCTAAATGAGTCCATTAGGGTTTGGACCCCGCCCATGGCTTCCTTTAGGCCTTTGTGCCCCTCCGGATGCCCTCTGGGGGCCCGCTTTCCCCAAATAAGGCTCCCTTGGAAGGAGGGGATCTGCAAAGGTGCCAGTGTTTCTTTGCCAATCTTCCTTCTCCCTTGCCCAACCGTTTAGCCGTGCCCAGAGGCTGCCCGCCCTTCTACCCCTGATGCTGAGAACCGGAGTCCTTTCCCCCAAGGCCCTGGGCCCTGGGCCGCCTTTGCCCCGTCTCCCTTCCTCCTGCCTTTGGGGTTTACCCGTCTGAGGCTAATTCCCGCCCGATGTCCCGGTGGGGAATGTAAACGCTCATTCCATGGGGATGAATCAACGCTCGCAGCTCCTGCCTGAGCTTTGCTGCCAGGGAAGGCCCCACCCAGCGATGGACTGAGCTGTCACCGGGAGTTTTGCCAGTGAAAGATCCGAGCGGAGAAAGGCCAGATGTCCGCTGGGGGTGCTTTCCACCCAGCGGTTCATGATGGAGCCAACTGGGTTTGATTTGCACACAAACTGGGAAGTTCCCACCCCAGTGCTGGCAAGTCTGGCCGGCAAAGGCCATGCTGGGAATACCCCAAAGAAGGTCTGGGCATCTATCTTTGCCCACTGGCCCCCAGGCCAGGATGTGCCCCTCAGCAGACAGCTCTGGGCTCTTCATTTGCCCTCTCCTGGACACTGAGAGTTGCCGTCCCTCATGGAGGACAGGCCCCAAAAAGGAGTCTGCCGTTTCCTCCCCCAGGGCCATTTTCTTCCAACACAGCCAGGGGGGGGTTCCACCTCCAGCTTCACCGCTTCATCGCCACGTGCAAAGTTGCAAAGCTTTGCAAAGCTGGGAGGCTCCGCAGCGACCAAATTGCGCTGGGGACGGAGCGGTTAGGGGAAGAGGACTCCTCCCTCCAGGTGGGCGTTTGTGGGGCACGGGTGGGCCTCTGGGTGGCCACAATGAAACCCTGCAGAGCCAACCTCGGGCACATCAGAAGCGCTCTTGATACCCACAAGGCTGTGGCCAGCCCTCCTGGACCGGCCCTCCTCTGAACTTGGGCCAAAGGGCTCCGTTTCTGCAGCCCACTTCCAAAGAAAGAGGCGTGTGTGTGTGTGTGTGTGTGTGTGCGTGTGTGTGTACGCTGTGTTCACTAGCCCGCACCTGCGAAGCCAGCACTGCCTTCCCTGCTTTGCACCCTTGGCCTCTTCCACGCTCCAGACTGACAAGCATTCACCCCGAGGACTCTTCCCTATTTTACCTGCCTGGGGCGGGTCAGGCCCCGGATGGGCCCTGGGGCAAACTTTTCACTCCCTTCCAAGGGAGCCTGCTTTGCTCTGCCCGCCAGCTGTGCTCAGTGACGGATCCATCCTCGAAGGCTTCGCCTTGGTGCCCGAAAGTGACCTGCAGCTTCCTCCCTTTGGGACAAGGACGGGTTGCAGGAATGCAGCCTATTCCTGCTCCTCCAGGGAACCAGATGTTGTGGGGTCTCCAAGCTGCAAGAGGGGCTTCACCAGGGCCCCCCTTAAGGACCCTGGATCCCAGGGCACCCATGGTCCTCGAGTGCTGAGTAACAGCTGGGATCTACTACCCATCCATCTCTTTCCAGGCTGCAAAGATGGATGATCTCCGTTGAAGAAGGGGATGTTCTATCTAAGATCCTCTGGACCAGCAGATGCAGATCTTATCAAAGGTGCCTGTCCTCCTAGAGCTGCCTTATTTGGTGCCCCACCAGCTATTGTGGAAAGACGCTCCCTCCTTTTTTCTCAGGCTCTCCTTCCCTCTCTTCATCCTCGCTTCTGGCCCGCAAAGCCAAACGGCCTTGATTTTCCCGGTCAAAGCCAAGGCTGCAGATAACCCAAGAGAGGACAGTCAAGATTAACGCCACAGACCCAACAGTTTGTCTCCTGCCTTCGTCCACAGAGTGGAGAGAACAATGCGTCCCGCAAGATAAAAAACCCTCAAAGCAGCCCTTCCCTCCAGCCCTTCGGAAAGACCTTCTAATCTCGGCATCTGGTTTCAAAACAAGTTTCTAGTCCTTGTAGGAGGAGAAGCGGCTGAATCTGGGGCAAAACATCGGAATCCTGGCAGTGGCCTTTTCTGACGTGCATATTTTACTAAAGTTTTTGTGAGCTGCAGCCGATGCCTTTTAATAAAATTTGCGAGTCGAAAAAGGTTGTGAGAAGTTTGATATCCAAGTATATTTTATTCTTTATTCTGCTTCCATCTTCCCTTAAAATACTAACAGAGTCCCTCATGGTTTGAGATTGAGTGTCTCCCCCTAGATAATTGACAGTCAAGTGGAAACCAAGATAATCAACTGAAATTAGCAAACTTCCTCAAACCCCCAAATAGTCGGAGGCTTCCAGCCCTTGCAGGCCATGGGGCAATGATGCTGCCAGCAGACTCTTTAGAGCCAAGTGAGTTCCTTTGGGGATGCAAAACTCTATGCAACGAAGTCCGTCCTTGCAGCCAGTTAGCAGTTGGTGATCTCTGGGTGTGGAGCTGCTGACTCAGCTGGAAGGGGGCGGTGGGGGGGGGGGTCCAGAGAGAGAGAAAGAGGGAGGGAGAGGAGAAATTTAAAAAAAAAAACCCAGCCCAAATTACAAGCAGTGCCTGGCCAGAGAATTTAGCTAAATTGCTGGTTAGGGTTGCGCTTGAGCGTCTCCATAGGGTTGCAGCCAGGATGGTCTCTCTGCCAGGGCTAAATTAGAGAGTGGCAGAGGACTACGGTGACCCTGGGGCTCAACAAGCCACAGGCAGCATCGGTTTAGCCTGGGAGGTGCCCCCGGGTGGGGTGGCAGGCCATCCAGCTGGCTGCTTTGCCAGCCCACCTCTGCACGCTAGAAGCCGCTGCACAGACTTAGCTCAGTGTTTCTGAACCGTGGTAACTTTAAGCTCCTTGGATTTCAACTCCCAGAATTCCCCAGCTGACTTTAAGCTCCTTGGATTTCAACTCCCAGAATCCCCCAGCCATCATGCTTCCTCCAGGGAAGTCACTGAATGCTAGCGGGATAATAACGCCCAATGTTGCCAGGTTTGGGATGCGATATTCTGCAACCCTGCTGGCATTTCCAGGCTGGGCACGAGTCCTTTGTCCCAGGGCGGGTGGGCGGGGTGGTGTCTCCTGTTCCTGCTGCCCCCCCCCCCCAGGCCCTCCAGGGATCTTTGGAGCCTGGTCCACGGAGGGTGTGATGTTGGACTGCCACTCCTAAAGTCCTGCCAGGCTTCCCGTTCCGTTAGTCTGTGCCTTCTTCCGCCTGATTCTCACAACCTGAGATTCTCCTTCTCTGAATCCACTGCCCGAAGCTGCGTTCTCTCTGCAGCAGCCTGAAGGAGCCGCAGGTTCTCAACAGCCACGTCCTCTTTGGGAGGAAAAAAGGCAGGAAAACCGAAAAGCAGCAGCAACCTTTGCAAATACTTTCCCAGTCTTGGCTTTGTTCGGTTTTTCTTTCTCACAGGAAACACTCCGTGTCTTGGAATTCTTCCCGCGCTCCAGCCAGAACTCGGGATGTGACAGCAATGTATTTACGATCCTGATAAGGCATTTTAGAGGGAAAAATGGTTTTTTAAAACTTAACTCTTCCTTCCCCTCTTTCTCTCAGCCTCCTCCTTGCGTTCTCCCGGGGTCCTTAAGAAACTCAGCGCAAAAGGGGGTTTCAAGTTTCATTTGCAGGCTTGGCTGGGATAAAACTATGGTTCTCTGGAGATGCCTTAATCACAAACCTATGTGTGTGTGCGTGTGCGTGTGTGTGTGTGTGTGCAACACAACCGCCCATTACAGACTCTGAAAGAGGCGAAGAAGAGGAGGGATTTGCTGTATAATTTGACATTCCTCCATTGTAATGACTAGAAACATGGCACCCTCATTTCATCTGCTGGCATCTAATTGAATTAAATTATGCAATTTGCCCAGGGATTGTGAACTAAGCCGCAACAGGCTCCATTCACAGTCATGTTTTGCAACCTGCTAAACCAGAACCAAACCACACTCTAGCTTAGCACAAAGCTAAAATTGGTCTTCTCCAGCAATCTTTCCTCAGTGAGATGATAGGAGAAGCGGAAACCAGGGAGGCGGTTTGAGAAGGAGAAGGAACGCTGATATGTGCTCAGGTGTCCCCTTGTTCTGCTGGGACAAAGAACTCAAGAGAACTTGCTATGGACTTAGAAAGTGGCTGCTCTGAGCCTCATCGTTGCATCTCATTCCTGCCTTTAAATCAATTTTTCATCAACGTTTTCATTTACGTTTGAACCGTGGTTAGGGAGCAGTGCCTAACCGGAGCCATGAACCGACGGACAGAAATAGGTTCCAACTGACAACAAACCAGCATTTCTTTTTCCCCTAGACGGCTTGTGAAAAGGAAGGAAGGGAAGAAGGAAGAAGGAAGGGAAAGGAAAGGGGAAGAAAGAAAAAAGAAAGAGAAGAAAGAAAAGGAAAGAAAGGAAAGAAAGAAAGAGAAAGAAAGAAAAGAAAGAAAGAAAGAAAGAAAAAAGAAAGAAAGAAAGAAAGAAAGAAAGAAAGAAAGAAAGAAAGAAAAGAAAAGAAAAGAAATTTTCGGGGGGCCACTCCTGGGATGCAGTTGTGCCTTTGGGAAGATGTGCAGGACATGAATCGCCCCCCCTCCCCCTTGTGCCTTGCATGGTCCCTCCCAGCAAGGAGGAGGAGGAGGGGGGGCTCAGCCTCCAGAAGAAAAGAGGAGGGAGGGAGAGGGGAGCTGTTTGGGGCCGTCCTGCCCTTCCCTCTTCCTACCCTCCCATTCCCACATGAAACCAGATTTAATGCAAACAAGCTGGCCTGGCTCAGAGCTGCCCAGGACGCTGCGCAGAGCCGAGCCGAGCCGAGCCGAGCCCCTCCAGGCACCAGGCGCCCCAACCCGGAGAGAAACTTCCCCCGAGGAGCCGCCCGCCTTCCCACCTCCTTCTCCCCGGGTGAGTCCACGCCAGGCGCTTCTCCGGCTCGGGGGGGCCCAGCTGGCTCCCCTCCGTTGGGGTCTCTCGGCCACTCTCCCTGGCGAGGGGGAACTCAGGCGGGGTCCTGCCACCCCTCCCTGCCTGCCTCTGCCCCTCTTTTCATTCCAGGTGTGCAGAAAGAGCCAGCAAGGCACCTGAACGCCAGCCAGCAGAATCCCCCTCCTCCCCCCCTTGCATCTGGAGGGTTGCCACTGGGAAGAGGCGAGAAGGTTGGGTAGCCCAGGGATGCTGCTGCCCGGTAGACTTCAGAGGCCAAAGGAGGCTCTCTGCAGACGGACGGGGAGACAAAGCGGGGCAGAAAGAGAGAAGACCCCCCCATTCTCCCCCCACAGAGAACCATCCTCTATCCAGAGCCCTGAGGGTTGCTTTTTGGGGTGGCTGCATCCTTCCTCTGACTTGCCTGACTTCGAAATATTAACAAGAAGTAAATTTGAAGGGATTTGCCTGTCTTTTCAAATCACGCATTCATCCATTCTTATTGATCTATATCTATATCTATCTATCTTTGGTGTTTTTGACTGGATTCAGTGAGCCCAAGTACAGATTAGCTGGACGTGGTCCTGGGGGGCCCAGGGGGCAGGAAAGTACAGGAGAAGCCCCCCCTTCCCCAAATAAAGTAGATCCAAACATCCCCTATTGTGGTCCAGATTCTGCAGCTGGCTCTTTGGGAGGGGGCTTAAAGTGGGGGCCTGGGATCCCGAGTGGAGTCCGGACTGTTGATTTAATTGCCGTTTGATAATTTGTTCCTGCCAAGCAGAGTTGGAGAGCTCTCATATTACAGAAAGCTGAAGTGGGTTTAGAGAATATGTTATGCTTTGGGGGAAGGACGGAGGGAGGGAGGGAGGGAGGGAGGCTGGCGAACTATGGAGTCTGAGCAAAGCCACAGGGGTTGGACGCATTCCCAGGCATGAGGACTTCCTCCCAGATGCTGGATAAAAAGGTCGAGTTTTTATTGGGGTATCTCAAGCTTGGTGTTTACATCAAGTTGTAGACAGCCGAGCCTTCACCCTCAGCAGCAGTCTACCTGTGACTACCAGAAATGGGAATGGTGTTGTCTGAGCTGCTCAGAAACATCTGGCTGTTGAAGGAGGAGATGCTTAAAAGGAGAGGGGGGGGGCGCAAGGCAGATCCCCCCCACATTAATCTGCAGCTTCTCAGCCTGGGGACGCCGTGGATTCGGGATGCCGGGCGGGGCAAAGGGCTAGTTTGGGGAGCCAGAGAGGGGGCTCTCTGATCACAGGGCACCGAGGTGTCCCCCCACCCTTTGGGAGGGGGAGAGAGGCGGGAAAGAAAAGGGGGAAACTGGAAGATGAAGGAGGTTTGATCGCAGGATCCTTCATTAAGAAAATCCAATCAAACTCAGAGGAGGGAGGTCAGGGAAAACTTGGGCCCTGGACTGCAAAGGAAACCTCCCTGGGGGCTCCAGGGGTGGGGTCCTGGCCTGGGGAAGCCCCCTCCAAGTGCTCTCGGCCTCCTCTGATCCGCCACAATCCCCAACGTTGCTCTGATGAAGTTTTAGGGGAGCTGGGCTAGAAAGTGAGCAAAGGGGGGGGGCGCGCGATCACATCTGGCAGCCTGTCCAGGGCCCTCCAGCTGTTCCAGCCCCCCAGACAACCAGATGGCCAGACCACCCACTCTGGGGGATGCAGGAAGGCTCCAGGCTGGGCAAAGGGGCGGGGGGGGGTATTGCCCTCAGCTGGCCAAGGAAGGATTGGCTTTCAGCTTGGCTGCTTTTAGCAAAACATCTGGAATCGGGGAGAGAGAAGGTCTCAAAGCCTCAAGGGAAGGGTGAGCTCCTGGCCACGTGCAGAAGGACATCCCTGCACCTCTCCCCGAGAACCCTGGACTTCCAACCTCCTCTGGGTTTCCAATTTAAGACCAGAGAGAAAGAGACAGACAGAGGAAGAGAGAAAGAGAAAGAAAGGGAGAGAGACAGAGAGACAGAGAAAGAGGGAAAAGGAGGGGAGAGAAAGAGAGGGGGAGGGAGAGAAGGAGTGGAGACATTTCTTGAACTTTCTTTGTTTCCATCTACCGGAGAGGTTAAGGGGGGCTCCAGTAAACTTCACCCACCCGGGAGAGCAGCTCCGGGGTTCTTGAGCTGCCTCGCATCGCTCAGCCCGGCTAGCCTCTCCGTCCAGACTCTCCAGGCTGAGGAATGTCTCCCGCTGCCAGCTGTGCTCTGCTCAGGCCAAATCAGGAGACTTAAACACCACCGACTGTCTCCGGAATGACGGAGAGCAACCGAGGCTGCAAACCGACTCTGGGCACGGAGCGATCCCCGGATTCCCAAATGGAAAGTCCTTGGCAGGCCAGAAGTTCTCCGGTCTCCTTCTCCGAACAAAGAGCATTGCTGTTCTCCTGTCAGGCTGGGCTCTGAATAACTTAATTGCCCCCCTCCCACTGCAGAGACACCCCCAAATTAATGGACAGAGGTGAATTAATGCAGCCGCGTCTAACGCTGAATCGGAGTTTTGGGCTGCATCTCTGCGCCTGTGAGAGGAGCTTAACCCTGGCCAGACCCCCAACCTAGGGGATCCAGGGCTCCCTATCTAGCTGCCATTCAGGAATTGGGGGTAGAAAATGAGGGTCTTAAGCTTGGAAACCTCTTCACGCTCCCCCGTAGCCTTCTGCGGATCAGGGACTCATCCTGAATACCAAGGCAGACTCCCCCACCAAGGACCCTGAGCCGCTACGGAGAAGCCCTGCTTTGCATCCCCTGGCCCAGGACTTAAAGCTTCAGGGTTGGTTTGTTTTCGTTCCAATCACTGCAGATTTTAGAATAAATATATATTTTTATTACCATCACAAATCAGAATTGCAAACAAAAGAAAGCATTAGAAATGAAGTAAAAAAGAAAACAAGACGAGCTATTACAGTTGCTGGAGGCTCACAGACTTTACACAAGAACAATGCAAAATCGGCATTTGGTGTTGGGGAAGGCAGGGAATAGACCGAGGGGCCCAAATATTTGATTTTCGTGCATGATTGCAATTCTTCGGGCTGGTTTGTTTTAGCTCTGAATTTATTTTTGGTGCGGAAAGGAGAAAAAGGTTTCTTTGATTCAGATGCTCTGAAGGATAACGGATCCCTTGTGTGTCCCCGTGTGTTTTCTGTTTCCCCGCAGGCGCTTGTGTGATCCTCCGAGCCTTGCCATGGCGGCCCTGCAAGACCTGTGCCTGCTTCTCCTGTTGATGTCGCCCTTTGGCGCCTCCAGATCAATTCAGAACCTGGTCCTGGAAGACAGCGAGGGGAGTGGGGACAGCGAGGGGGCTTCCCCCAGCCCCACTTCTGCCGGGGCGACGCTGAGTGCGAGTCCCACCTCAGGGAGCCTGGCGGTCGATTCGGTCAACGGAACGTTGCACTCCTTCAACCTCCTGGACGGCATTGTGAACTTCTTCCAGACGTACATGCTGCTGATCCTGGTGGTGGGCTCTCTCCTCCTCATCTTCCTGTCCATCGTGTGTGCAGCCGTCATCACCCAGCAGAAGCACAAGGCCTCCGCCTATTACCCCTCGTCTTTTCCGAAGAAGAAGTACGTGGATCAGAGCGACAAGGCTGGGGGAGCCAAGGCCTTCAGCGAAGTCCCCGAGAAGACGTCCAAGGACAGCCAAGAGGAGCCGGTGGATTCCACCAAGCAGTTGCAGGCTGACATCTTAGCTGCGGCCCAGAACCTCAAGTCTCCAACCAGGGTCGTGGCGAATGGGAAAAGTGGCCCTGTGGAAGACCCACCCGCGGAAGGAAAAGAGGAAGGGCCCCAGAAAGCGGGAGACGTGGAGGAGGGCAGCTCCAAAGAAGAAGAAGAAGAAGAAGAAAAAGACGAAGAAAAACCACCCACTGAGGCCGAGCTGCCTCCAGAGACATCAGCGCCAAACGATTTGGTGGATGCTGAGACCCAAGAAGAAGAGGTCCCATCGCTGGTGGTGGAGACCCATCCATCTCCTCCCGAGGAGCCCAAGGAAGCCCCACCACCCACCGAGGAATCTGCCATGCCTGCCTCCGAAGGGGAGAAGGAGCAGAAGGAAGAGCCCAGCGCTCCACTGACTCTCGACCCCACAGAAGAATCCAAAAACTGAATGGGGTCACTTCCCACCACTGGCGGGACAGCTGACAATATGAAACCTACAGGAACCTGTTTATCAAATAGAAGGGAGCAGATCTTTTACCTTACCTGCAAAGGAGACAAGTTAGCCACCTCCCACCCTCCCAAGAAATACCTGAAAGTTCTGCATTCCTGCAGTTTTGCTTTAATGGACTTTCTTCAGTTAGGCAGACTTGCCCAAGTCTGCTGCCCTCCAGCTGCAGAAGACCACGACTTCCATCGTCCCCTGCCAACCTGCTCAGGGAGGTGACGAGAGTTGCTTAACACACCTGGGGGGAGGGGAAGTTGAGGGGCCGCTGCGTCATAATGTAGCTACTCAACCAGATATCACTGAGAAGGTAAGATAGAACTTACTTTAGGAGACCTGTTGAAGACACACATAGTCTTCAACCGGGTTCCGGGATTCTTCTGGAGGAACCGTCGCAGGATCGTCCTCCAGGACTTTCCCACTTTCAGGGAGAACATACCTGCACATACATACATGCTTACGTAATGTTTGAGGTGGGCCCTTTGGGTGAGCATCTAACTCTATTTATATCAGTCCCTAATTCTGGACCAAGGTTGTGTGCAGAGATGATTGGTCAACCTTTCTATCAATCATGAAGTCATCTCCGATGCTGATGAGATCTTCTTTGGGCAAACCTGAAGTTATTTCACACCTGTATTTCTTTTAAAGCAATCTTGGTTCAACTCTGTTTAGTTGTCTCTTATATCAATGATTAATTCATTTACTTTTAGTATCAGCTCTGGAAGTTGAACTCATGGCTGTATTTAGCTTCAGAACGGTCAACCTGAAATCAGATTTTTATGTACAATTTCCAGCCAAGCAATGACAACAATATAGGATCCACCACTCAGTCCAAGTTTTTTTTTTTTAAATCTGGTTTCTGAGAATCCTTAACTGTAAGTTCTCCAGATGCTTTAGGAGATCTGATTGCTCAAGGCAACCAACCTTGGGGAGAATCTGAGGACATTTCTGATAATTGTTCCTCTTAGAGGTCTACAGATATTCAAACTTTTGTGTGGAGGGGAAGATACTGAAGACTTTCATGAGTGAACGAAGCTCAACAATGTTCAATGTTCAATCCTGAAGCTTTTCACTCGTCAAAATGGTTAATTTTCAGAGGCCTCATATTTTTCAGCATTTAAGCACATTGAAAACATTTTCTGGGTGTTTTTAAACTCAGTTACGGGGTGGAGGGAAGACTTTTGGTCAATTTTTAAAAATGTTTTTATATTTTGACTGGGGAACATTGGATTCCAGACTTCCAGGTGCTAATCTTCCTAGGCCAACTAGAAAAATATTTCAGTAAGTCTTAGAGTTGAAGCAAGTGAGATTAACCTGGTTTGCGACAAGCCTTGAAGAAGCTGGGTGCCAGGAGAACTTATTTGCAACAAAAATTCCTCCTTGGTTTTTCCCAGCCTCTTTGCAAAGGTTCTGCTGATATTTATGACTTTCCCTCCAACTGGGCTCTCCCTTGTAATCCTAGTAAAAACATCTATAAACTTAGCTGACAAAGACATTTATTGTAGTTTTGAGGACTTATCTGGGATAGGGTTTAGTGGGTCGACCCTCTCTGGCAGGGTCTCTGCAGTCCTACACTTCAAGGCCATTTCTGGATGAGAGACTCTAAGGGGGCCGTCAAAGACAATATTTGGAACTTTGCAACAAGCTAAACCCCCAACTGGGTTAGCATGAAGAGGGTCTGACTAACTTCTTTCTCAGCATCTTCTTCTAGGGCTTTCTAAACCTGAAAACACGAGGAAGGGCAGAGTGTCGATAAAAACACAAAACAAACAACTTCACTTTCCAGATGTTCCAACCCAGCCCACGGGTGGCTAAAGTCCAGGGGTGGCAGAAACTAGATGCCCAAACACCTGGAACTGTGTTTCTCAAGCTTTAAGGTGTTTTGCACTTCAGCTCCCAGAATTCCGCAGCCAGCACGGTTTAATTGGTTGATATGGCCAATGATTTAAAAAAACAAATGGCCCAAATTCAGTAAAATGCCGTGACTGTGGTGTTCCCTTGCCTGAGGCCCCCTTCAAGCCTACAGTGAGTCCCAATGTATTTTTCTCCGTTATAGATGTACGTCCCATTAAAAAGAAACGATGAAGCCGGCTTGTGTGGATGTCTGGATGAGGACCGGTGGTTTTCCTGCCCCGAATTCTCCGGGCAACATATTTGAAATAGCAAAAGACGTGTTGGCATAGAAATACTCCCCCCACCCCCCCACCCCAAAAGGGTCAGTTCTCTTGAGGAGTTCTTGCAGCCTATAAAATCCCAGGTCTTTCTTGGAAATGGTTCCTCCGGTCTCCGATTACCCCGCAACCACTCCTCAAAGTTGCGGGATTTGCACTCTTTCTCTTTGACCCACTGGCTCATTTGGGAAGGGGGTCTCGTCCTACCTCACCATGCTGGTTTTTTATTTGAGCTCTCTTGGGATACTGGTGGTCTTCCTTGGGCAACTGGACGCTCCTCCCGCCTCCCTTCTTCTCATCCCGTTTCCTAAACAGTCCCCAAAGGTTTTCCAACCAAACCTCCCGCTGGTGGTGGCTTAGTCTTTTCACTGCCTTGGTGGCTAGACTAGAAGGGGGGGTGGGGTGGGGGAACAAACCCTATTGGGAAGCGTCTTTCTCTCCCGGGATTGAAAGAGGAAATAGCTGGCATTCTTGGGCCAGAAAGAAAGAGCCTCACAGGGGCCTCCGGGTGGAGATGGCTCCCCGCTTCTGCCCTGCCTCCCATCGGGCGCATCTCTCCCTTCTCTGCACGCTCTCAACTCCCAGTGCGGGCCTGCTTTAAAGCCCCCCCGTTCTTGATCTGCTTGCACAGCCTGTCTCCGGTCTACGTCAAGGTCCAGAGAAAGCCTTAACGTTTGCCCATTTGCAGACTTCTCGGAAGCAGAAGAGACGACCGACCACATGGCAAGGTCAGCTGCCAACCAAACACGGACGTGTGCTTGCGAAGGAGAGATAGGAGTTGTGTGTGAAAGCAAAAACAATCCTCCCCGATTATTTTTCTCTCTCTCCCTTTCTTGGAGCACCGAACAGCCGAACGTGGTCAGGCTGTTTTAGGAACAAAACCTGCGACTCTTTTAAAGCCCTGAGCACAGGTAGAACAGCAAACAAAGCTGAAATTTGTGCATCAACAATCGGGGGAAATAAAAAAAGGCTACAAATCAAATCTCCGAAGAAGGTCTTTCCCACAGATAAAGGCGAAGAAGCCAAGAGCAAAAAGCTACAGCCAAGTCGGTCTATCCTGTTGGCTCTAGTACAGGTCTTAACATGGTGCGTTCCCTAAACGCTTTCTTCCCCCGGGGGCTCTGAGAACTTATAAAAGGGGACGCATTTCCCGGGGTGGGTGAGAAGTGGTGATTCTCACCAGGTTCTGGCACCACCACCACCCGCCAGTTTTGATAGGGCTTGGTGGGGGGGATAAAGACAGCCTGGCTCAAACTTCTGCTGTTCGGCACGGTGGAGCACGCGAAGGAAACGTGAAATGTGCTGATCTCGAATTCAGGAGAATGGCTGCTTGGAGCGCTGAAGGTTTGGGCCGCTCCTGGGACAAAGGGAGGGTTGTAATTTAGCTGTTGCTGTGGGTTGTCTGTGGTCGGCCTGGTCCGGATTTAGAGAAATCTGCCCAATATTTATGACAGGCGGAGAGAGTTGGAGAGAACATCTAGTCCTTTCATTTCTGACCGCCTGACTTCAAGGAGAGCTTCACCCCAAGCTTTTCCGCCCCCCTTCCTTGCACTGTGGTGGCCCTTTACCAAAAGCCCCTTCCCATCCGCTGCAGGGTCTGCCTTTGAATTGGCCTTGCATTTTGTCATAAACCAGGACGTCGTCCCAGCTGGCGTGATGGTCCACCAGAACGAATTGCATTAGAGTTTAGGGGAGCAGAGTCTGCCTTTGGGGAGCATCGGGGAAGGTTTACAAGAGGAAAGCGATACTGTGACTCTCTGTTTCTTGGAGAGCTTTTAAAAGGGGTGGGGGGGTGAGGGCTAGAAAATCCTCTGCTACAGAAAACTTTTGATTCTAAAACTTGGGTGAAAATGGGAAGACCAGAATGGGTCGGTCCAACCCTTCTGACGGAGCCTTCTCTTCAACAGAAGGGGCTCTTCGGGTCCAAAATATTGCAGAGTGGGTTATTTTTAAGCATCTCCTTTTTGCCTTTGACTGGGGAGGCTTCAGAGTGGATTATCCAGTTGCTGGGATCAAGGGCAGGCAGGCAGGCGGGCAGACGATGCTGCTTCGGCAGCTGAGGACTGTTTTGGTTGGAAACCTGAGCCGCCGATAAATCACCCCAAATACAGGGTGGCAGCTGGCACTCGACAGGAGGGGTGAACAGCCTTCGCCTGTCTGCCTGTGTGTCAGCATGACCGTCTCCCTGGCCCCCCAAGAATGCGGAGGCAGGTTTGGGTGGCTGGGGTAGCCTCTGCACAAGGGGGGGAATTGCCTCGTTGGGGCGGTTATACGGACACAAGGAGGGAGGAGCGCTAGGTATGTTCTCTGCCTTGTAGAAACAGTAAAGGTGGGATGTAAGTAAAGGAAACACAAATTAAAAGAACTCAACGTTCTGTAGAACAAACATATATTATCTCTGCATGTGTAGCACAGGTTGAACAGCAAACAAAGCTGAAATTTGTGCGTTAACGATCAGGTGAAATAAAAATATATTCCTTTATAATTCCAATCTAGAAATAGCAAAACAGAGACAGCTTTACTGTACTGATCAGGTCTATCCCTTGCATTAGGGGAATGTGAACCCAGCAACATGAAACTACACTGCTGTTTTACCCCCCAAATGAATGACCAAAAATGTCATCATGAGCCCCAAGAGCTTCCATATTGCTCTAAATCTACCCCTGGAGGAAGAACCCTGGGATGTCATACATCATTGCTTGTCCCTGTGGACTCAAGGATCGTACCTGAAATGGCCCTGGGACTTTTCTTGGTAACCAAGAGGCAGCTCTACATCCCCCCACCCTTTCAGTGGCCATTCTTAAGGCTACAAATCAAATCTCTGAAGAAACTCTTTCACACAGATAAAGGAAAAGAAGCCAAGAGCAAAAAGCTACAGCAAAGTCAGTCTATCCTGTTGGCTCTAGTACAGTCTTAACATTGTGCGTATGAGTTGTGCGTCTCTCCAAAACGTTGATGGATCAAGCTCCTAAGGTATCGCGCTGAGGCTACAAGTGGAATGAAGGGAAGCTGGCTCCCAGGTCTTGAGATGCAAAGGAGCCCTACATACTGGCTGTGCTCTTCTCAGGTCCAGCAGGGTTTGGCCCCTGCTTCAACTTGTAATCTGCCAAGGCAGCCTTGATGGCGTCTTCCGCTAGCACTGGGGAGAAGGAGAGAGAGAGAGAGAGAGAGAGAGAAACTGTCAGAGCTTGGAAACATGGGAAGCTGCTTTGTTTTCCGTGGGGAAAACCAAGGGTTCCGGGAAGGCAATAAACAGTGAAAATCCTACTCACTTGAGCAGTGCAGTTTTACTGGCGGCAGGCAAAGCTCTTTAGCAATATCCGTGTTTTTTATCTTCAAGGCTTCATCAACCTGAAATAGACCCAAGTTGACAGTTTAGCAAGGCCTGGGCAGCTCTTTCCCAAGGGTCTCGCTTACAAAGAGGCTGTCACTTTCTTTTACATGAGAATATGCCCCACCAAGGCTGAAGGCTCACAAATGCCCTCAAAGAAGGGACTCTAATCAAATATGGCCAAGGCTTTGAAATGGACAGGACGTACCGTCTTGCCTTTCACCCACTCCGTCGCCAAAGAACTTGAAGCGATTGCTGACCCGCAGCCAAACGTCTTAAACCTGGCGTCAATGATTTTCCCGTTTTCATCCACCTCGACCTGAGGGCAGTTACAAAGACCCCAGTTACCGGCCAGGGCAGGGCTAACAGGAAGGGGACAGGCTGGGCAGGCAGAGCTGCCTGGGGAAAAGCCGGACCTTTGCTTACTTGCAGTTTCATGACGTCTCCACAGGCCGGAGCCCCCACCAGGCCAGTTCCCACGTTTTTGGCCTTCTTGTCCAGGGAACCGACGTTTCTGGGATTCTCGTAGTGATCTACGACCTGAAAGGGCAAAACCCAGACAACCCCTGAGCAGCCGTGAGAATCCTCCCCATAGAAGGAGAGAGGCAAGAGAACCCTCCCCCAGTAATAATCCTCCCTTCCCCCTTTCAGCTTGTTGGGGGGGGGGGGTGACAGGGCTGGAGGGCCTCCCGAAGGCCGGGCTCGGGAGGGTTTTCCGCCCACAGATCGCTGAGAAGCCACCCAAGGTTGGGTTCCAGGCAGTCGGGGCTCTTGGGATCCTCTCCCATGCATGTATTTATACACACACACACACACACACACACTATATATATATATATATATATATATATGTTTTCTTAAGTTTTCACGGGTACTTACATGCCATATATATATATGTGTGTGTGTGTGTGTATGTATGTATGTGTATATGCATATATATATACACACACACACATTTTTTATACTTATATATATATATGTGTGTGTATATATATATATATATACATATGTATATGTAAATATAAACATATACATATAATGTATGTATAAATATAAATATAAACATATAATATATATAAAAATATGATATATATCCTGATATAAATTTATATATCCTTCGCTGGTTTTCAGGGAGAGGCGCCACAAGAGGGAAAAAAAACAGGCCGGAGGATGAAGAAGGAACCCCCCCCCCCCCACCGGGCTCTCCTTCCTTCTCCTCCGCCCACTGCAGACAGGAGCCACCCTGCCCGGCCTCCTCCTTCCCTCCCTGCCCGGGACAGGCGCGTGTCCGCTTCCTCGACGGCTTCTCCTCTCAGCCGCTCCTTTGACAGCCGCGAGAGGGGCGGGGCTGAGGCTCCCGCTATCAGGAGCGATGGGAGTTGTAGTCCCTCGGGAGGGGCGCCGGACTCGCCTCCCGCCTCCCCTCCCAAAGCCCAGCCCACCTTCTCGTGGTAGCCGGCGGCCGGAGGAGGCCGGGCCAGGCCGGGCCTGAGGAGCACCGCGGCCCTCACGCCACTCGCCCGCAGCGCCGCCATCTTGTTCCTTTCGCAGGCGCTTCACTGCCGCGGCGAGGGACGTACGCAGTGTCAATAGAGGGCGGGGCGGGGCGACGCGCTCGTGACGCCATCAGGGCGCGCCAAAAAGGCGCGGAGCCGCTAAGCCACGCCCCCCTTCGCCTTCGAGGAGGGAGGTAATCCGCTCTCTGCCTGGCAGGTATTTCTGGCGCCGTCGTGGAGCGTGGCCGCGGGAAAGAGTAGGCGAGCCTCCGCCTTAAGGGAAGCAAACGCTGCCACCTCCCCCCCCATGACAAAATCCGGCCGTTATCATTTCATTTCGGTTTTATTTCACTTTAATTCTGCCCCCTCCTCGTGGCGCGTGGATTAGTTGCCCCGCCTCCTTGAACGGTGGGGGGGGGGCGCTCGCTCCTCCCAGGAGTCTTTGCGGCAGCCAGACTCGGTTCGACCGTCCCTTGAGGCCCCTTCCCCGCGGCCGTCTAACTCAAGTGCCTGTTTGGAGCGGGACCCGCGGCACCCCTTCCCTTCCCGGGTTCTTCCCGCGCCATCACGGCCTGGAGCGGAAGATCCCACTTAAGGCCGAACCCCCCGTCTGTTTCTAGGTTCGCGGGCCCGGCCCTCTCCTTGGCGGGCTCTTCAGGCGTCGCTGCGGGCAGCCCGGAGTCTCGGCGCACGCGCGAACGTACCCGGGACGCGAGGTCATGGCGGGGGCGGTGCGAGGGTGGCCCCAGGGCGCGATGTCGGACGAGGACGCTTCTGAGGCGGCGGACATCGCGAAAGCCATCGAGCTGCTGGAGGAGGTGGGCGACTTCGACGAAGATAACTCCGCCGCCGAAGATAACGATGACGACGATGGCCACCGCTTTGTGGAGCCGGACGGCGAGATCGTGCGCTTGCAGTGGATGGTGAGAGGGGCGGGGCTTCGGGCAGGCCGGCCACGCCCACAACTCTTCTGTTTTTTGGGGGGCTCCTTAAAATCCTTGGAAATAGGAAAGCATAAAATGGGGGGGGGCTGAAGGCTGTGCCCCTTGGCCGGGAGCCCCTTTGTGGGCCCCAAGGCCTCGGGGGGGGGGCGCTCCTCCGAAGGAAGGCGGCTTTGGGGGGGGGGAATTGCAGGGGGGGGGCGAGCAGGGACCCTCCTGCTTTTCCAGTACGGGTAGTCCTCGATTTACGACCACAGCGGAACCCAGAATTTCCGTTGCTAAGTCAGACAGTTGTTAAGTGTCGCCCCACTTTGCAACCTCTCCTGTGAAGTCAGTAACCAATTAGTAAGTTCACCATAGTTGCTAAGGTAATAACACCGTCAATAAGTGAATCCGGGCTTTCCGAGTCAGCTTTGCTTGTTGGAAGGTTGCAAAAGGGGATCCCAAGACAGCTCCCCCCCCTCCCCCCATGAACGAAGTTTGGTCGGTTTGGACCGAAGGGAAGCTGCAGAGGTAAGTACAAAAAACGCCTCCTGAGTCCATTCCCCCACCCCCAGTGCTGCAGTAATTTTTGATCGGCCACTAAACAAGCGGTTGCAAGTGACGGCACGGCGACGACCATGGGTTCTGCCTCCTCTGAGGAGGCTCCCTAGGCCAGACCTGTTTGCTAGTCCTTACGTCCTGCAGTCGTTGGTGCGAATGTCGATCCCTCTTCGCCTTGCAGAGACCGAGTTGGAATTCTAAGGGGTTAAGATTCTGCTGAGAGTTGCAGATTTCTTTCCCTCTTGGCTCCACTCTAAACAGTCCCTCAGCTGCAGGAGTTTCTTGGCATAAGACTGGATTAGGGATTCCTAGGGCAATCCATGCCCCGTGATCTGCTTTAGCGCCTTGACTAGAGACGGTCCCAAGCGGTGGCATATTTATGCCTGGCCCAGGATAAGTCCTGTCCCGCATTGGAAACCCCTCATGGTCTTTGTGCCCGTTCCATAAGTAAGATTTGCCAGGATGGTCCTAATCGATAGCTTTTAGCTGGGTTTCTGTAGAACCGTGTAAATAAAGTTATTGTTTTGACAATGTTTTTTTAGCTGGACAGGAATGCCTATGATTACAACACTCACCTGGCTCTGATAAAAATAATGCGTGATGAAAGCGACTTTGCGCTTCCGGTAGCCCGCCGGAACATGAGCGAAATTTTCCCTCTCACTGAAGGTAGGCAAAGTCTTTTGGCCTCGCAGAAATTCAGATCTTGATATACCCCCATTTTGTTGTATGAAATGTAAATTGAAATAGGATATTGAGTGATCACCCCCCAAAAATTTCCTCCGTAAATGAAATTGTTAAAGAGTTGTTACTGGTAAAGTTTGCACATAGAGTGACAGGGTCTAACATGCATCTTCAGTGGAACCATTTAATAAGAATAAACAGCTTAGTGGTTATCTTTCCTCTCTCCTTGATGTTGTGGCAGAGTTTTAAAAATACTGCTGTTTGTCTTAGTGATTCTGTAGAAAATAACCAGACTTTGCATTCCTACTTCCAAAACCCCCAAGAATACTTTAGGGGAGATATACAATCCTGATGTATTGGAGGTGGGGGCATACGCACTACATTTATTTAATCACATTTTGTACTGGACAGGCGCGGTCTGCACCAACTGTGAGGTAGAATTGAAAACTTTAGCAGAAAAACAGCTGGCTTGTTCATTCGTTCTAGACTTGCATTCTCACGAGTCACATAGTTCTGATAGGATCAGAGAATACATATCCCTAGGTGAAAATGTACAGCGATTTGCACTGCTGTGGATCCTGTTAAATGTGCACATGCTGCTGTTTTTTAGACGAAGGTGGTTCCTGTGCCACGGCCTTTGTTTGTTCCCCCAGATTGGGGGGTGGTGGGAGAAATTTGGCAGTTTGAAGCGGGGAGCGATATTCAAGATTGGCTCAACCCCTACAGAGTAGAAGCTTTCCTGTTGCAAACATTTTGTGGGGCTTTTAAATGAAAGCTGAGGTTTCTTAATTACGTCGCCTATTTTATCTTCTTTTTTTCTGGGTTGCATTAAAAATGGCAGCTTTGCTGTACTTTTAGTTAAAATTACTAGTGATTTACTTGTGGCACCACTTAATTGCTGCCAGATGTTTGGCGCCATCATGATGGAAACCAAACGAAACTCCAGAGCATTTACTTTAGAGAATTATTTAGGTTAAATTTGTTTCAGAGAAGATTTTGGTTTCTTGAGATGTAAGTAGAACGTAGCTGTGTGAACATCTGTTCAGTCGTAAACCCTGTTGAATTTAGTAGAACGTATACATACATATATTCTATTAATAATCACTGGTAATTTTAACTAAAATTGTATATATATTTGATCCTGCTTAGTAATATGTCATTTAGCAGTATCTTTTTCCAGATTAACCAATCTGTGGTAGCTTTCCAACCCTCTTTGGCTTTGTCCCACGTTCACAGAGATGTGGCTAGACTGGCTGAAGGACGAGATTTATAAGCCTGGAGGCTCTGATCGGGAAAAGATTTACGAACTTTTTGAGAGAGCGGTAAAAGATTACATCTGTAAGTTTACTTTTAAGTGGATCTTCTTTCATGCTCAAACAAACGGAGATAAACAGCACCCAAATAGATAGGTTCAAGGCAACAGGTTCTCCAAAGGACTTCTCTGCGGGAGGAAATGAAAAATTCAGAGTTAACTTCAGCTTCCTTCCGCGAAAGCGCTCAGAAGTGATACCCCCTCTCTGCCCCCACCCCGCTGTGGTTGTTTTCTAGGTCCTCAAATCTGGCTGGAGTATGCCCAGTACTCCATGGGGGACATCGGCACGGAAGGAGGGATTGCGAGAGTTCGCGCCATCTTAGAGCGGGCGATCATTGAGGTTGGCCTCCACGTGACCAAAGGAGCTGCCATTTGGGAGACGTACCGGGAATTTGAAAACGCCATTTTGGCGACAATGCAGGTAAGCCCTGGCAATGCTGCACTGGAGTTAGTCCAGGTGACGGTTTCCCAGAGAGCGTTTTGTGTTTGGGAGGAAGTCAGAGGAAAGACAGCAGCGGCATTGGAGCATTTAGGCTTTGAGGCACTGCTCTCCAGCACCCTCTGGGCGGTTTACCGTCTTGAAGCATTATTTGCATCTTGCAAACCCCAACAATCCGGGTCCTCATTTTACCGACCCTTGGGAGGATGGAAGGCTGAGTCAACCTTGAACCCTGTCAAGGATCGAACTCCAGGCTGTGGGCAGAGTTTTGCCTGGAGTACTGCCCTTTAACCACTGCTCCACCGGAGCTCGCTTGGATGAGACCCCAGTCCCTGGGCATCGGGCGTGGCAAGGGCTCGCTCAGCAGTGCCGCTCCCTAAGCCGGGATGGGGAGGCCTCTTCGGCTAATTATGCACGCATCTTTTCGCTGCTTGGGGGGCTCTGCTCCTCTTCCGCTGCTTAGGACCAAGGCTGATAACTCTGCTTTGTTCCACCCCTGGCAGCCAGCACTGGGCGCCGAGCCAACGCCTGAGCAGCAGCAGAACATCAAGGCACAATTCCAGAAGATCCACTCAGTCTATCGCCGGCAGCTGGGGATTCCCTTGATAGGTGAGGATCCTTTATCGCTTGCCTCTCCACCCAAGGCCTGGCCCCAAATCCTTCGGCTTCTTTTTTAAAAAAATAAATTCGATACGTTTTTTTTATTAATTACATTTCTTAGTCCTTAATCGACATCGTGTTATCTGGGTATTTTAATTTGCTTAGCAATACAGATGCCGTTCTTACTCGCTACCCCTTTTTTTCCGACCACTGATAAAATAAGCTGCATGTTTGATAATGTTCTGTGCCGTCTTTCTGTTTAATTTTCAATTTAAGTCTGTCCGTTTCTGCACAATCTAATATCTTCATCTTGCGGTGTTTCTTTATTTTTCCAATAGTGTGCAGAGATAATCCTCGCTGCTAAGACGTGTAATATAAAATACATACTTTTCTCACCAATTTTTTTCTGATATCATCCCTAATCAAAACAGTTCAGGTTTAAAATCTGCATGTTTCCCTATTACGTTTTCTAGTCACTGTATATTTTTGCCCAAATTATTATTTTTTGTTTCAACACAAGTCCACCACACAAGGATAAAATGTGACTGTTTTTTGATTACATCTCCATCATTTGCTAGACCTATTTTTAAACGTTTTATCTAACCATTTAGCTAAGGTCTTTTTTTAGCTAAAATCCTTCGGCTTGTGGTTCCTCGGCTCCAGAAGGAATTGGTGGCTGAGTTTTGCACAGGGCACCCCAAGCCAAAGCAACCGTAGTGGGGCTTAAGGCGAGGTGAGGGATTGGGAGACTGTGTGATCCCCTTCCTGGCTGACATGGGCTTGTTTCCCTCCCTCTCTGGAGATATGGAAGCAACATTTATGGAGTATCAATCCTGGACCGACGAGCCGATCCCATACGCAGTGCGGCAAAGCTACGCAAGGGCTTTGAAGCAGTTGCAGAAATACAAGCCTTACGAAGACGCCCTGGTAAGTGGCTCCCCTCACAAGCCCTCAGCTTCGCCGGGCCCGTGTCGCCGATCGTCCTTGAAGGCGCTTCCTTCCGAAGGACGGCGTCTTTCCCCGGTTCCAACTTCCTTCCGAAAGGTATTTTTTATAGGGCCCCGTGGGAAGATTCTGGAAGTTACTGTCAAGATTATCAGGGAAGGAGGAACAAAATTGCTTTTAAGTCTGTGTCAAATAGGTTTTATCTCACTGGTCGTCTTTTTCAGAACTTTCTGGGATTGTCCCCCTTTCTGCCCCCCCCCTCTTTTTTTTTTTAAAAAATTGAGTTTTACGCCGAGCAATGCAATGCAACCTTCTTTCTTCCTAATGGATCCTTTCCCCTGTTCCACTTCCCCTAAAGCGCTTTCTTCCTCTCTTGTTGTGCCAGCTGGTAGCTGAAGCCCCAAAGCTGGCCGAATACGAAGCTTACATCGACTTTGAAATGAAGATCGGGGACCCAGCTCGCATCCAGCTGATCTTTGAGCGTGCCCTGAAGGAGAACTGCCTCGAGCCAGACCTCTGGACTCGCTACACTCAGTACCTGGTAAGGGCCTCGCATCAGCAGGCCTCCCGTCCTCCTGCACAAGAGCTTTCCTGCGTCTGGTCGGTTGTCCGGGTTAACCAGAGTAATTCTTGTTAAAAGAACTTCAGAACCTTAGGAAATTTGGGTCTCTGGGGGGACACGGAGCAACAGGTCTGCAGAAATGCCTCCTCACTGATGATTTGATATTGCTCCTCTGCAGAGGGATGACTGTCCACTCAGTGTGGCCTTTGGCCTTTCCTGTGGCTTCTGGGACTTTTAACAGAAGCCTCCTCCCTCCCTCCCTCCCTTCCAGATATCCTTTCTATCCTGTGAGGCGAGGTGAGGTGTTGCAGCACCAAACGCCCCCTTGTGCCTTATGTAGGACCACAGTTAGCCCGTCTTTAAGCCAGCTTTAAACGTGCTTCCTTTTGTAGGACAGGCAGCTGAGGGTGAGGAGCCTGGTGCTTCCTGCTCACGAGCGAGCTGTCAGGAACTGCCCCTGGACTGTCAAGATGTGGTGCCACTACCTGATGGCCTTGGAGAGGCACCGGGTGGAGCACCAGGTGATCTCAGGTAGGATCAGGAGGACCCCCAGGGCTACGAAGGGCTCCTCCTTCCTGAGGCTGGTGGGAGCTTCACAGCCTCGGAGGCCACACTGCGCTCCTGTCCTGTTTACCTGGTTTTCCTTCAAGCTGGAGAGTTGGCGGGTTTTCTTTCTTTCACCCGGAGCATCTCGGCCTGCTCCTCCCCGGGCCCCCTGCCAGGGAGGGAGGGAGGGAGGGAGGGTGTGGGCTGGGCCCCCTTTTCTCTGAGGGCCCCACCTGGCTCAGGCTGAGAACTCACAGCTGTTGAAGCTGCGTCCACCCTTATGTCTTCTTCTATGTGTTAGAAACCTTTGAAAATTCCTTGAGACCCGGTTTCCCTCAGGCCGCCGATTATGTGGAAATCTGGCAGGCGTACCTGGATTACCACCGGAGGAGGGTGGACTTTACCCAAGGTAATGCTGTTCGCAGCCCCTGGGTTTGGCTTCGTGCTTCCAGATCCCAGCAAGGAGGGGATTTTTGCCCCAGGGCGACGGGGCCTGAATATCCCACCCCCCCACCCCCATTGGAGAGAGCACCCCTGGCTTCTAGAAAGCTAGTGCTCCAGGGGTGGCTTCTGAATGGCCGCACTCTCTCCTTGCTGTTCTTCAGACTCGAGTAAGGAGCTGGAAGAGCTTCGCTCAACCTTCGCTCAGGCCCTCAACTATTTAAAGCAGGACGTCGAAGAACGTGGGTTTGCCTTTTATTCAGGAAACATGGTTTGTCTGCTGTGGGTGTTGGCGTTGCGACCAGAAATAACCATGGCTGAATTCTGTTTGCCCGCAGGGTTCAATGAGAGCGGAGACCCTTCCTGTACTATCATGCAGGCCTGGGCCAGGATCGAGGTGACCTTAACTCGCCCCTCTTGTTTGGTTTCCTTCTCTCACCTCCGGGGGGGCCGGGTGTGGGTGGGGGTGGGCATATTTTCAGATTATATTAACGGGCCGCCTCCCTCCTCCAGGCCCGCTTTTGCAACAACATGCAGAAAGCACGAGAACTCTGGGACTTGATCATGGTCAAAGGGAACGCAAAGTATGCCAACATGTGGTTGGAGTATTACAACCTGGAGCGGTAAGAGGCCCCCGCTGTGCCCTAGGGGTTGCCAGCCGTGGGGGCTTGGAGGCCCGTCCTGTTCGGGGCAGAGGTTCCGCTTAAGTCTTCCCGGTCTAACGGATGAGCCAGTGACATCGCCGTAGCCCGGATGCGGCGCCTTTCACGTCCTCGTCAAGGCGCTGGAGCGAAGGACGGGAGCTCACCCAGCCACGCAGCAGCCCTCTGGTCTCGAGTGTGGGCTTTGCCAACCTCCCGCCCAGCATGGGAGCCACCGTGCTCCAATGGGTCGCGGGATGCCTGGAAATGAGAGCTTAGTCGTCGCTTGTGGGGGGCTGGCGAGGAGGCCTTGATCCTCCCCCTCCCCAACCAGGCAGCCCAGAATGAATCCATTGCTCACTCCCCAACGAATGCAGGTTGTGCTTCCTGGGCCCAGCTGGAAGGGAGGTGGGTTTTTTGGGTGGGTTGCACACCTGCTGTTTCCCACCAGGGCCTCCCCAGCGGTCCTTTCCATGGGGGGGGGGGGTTTCCAAGGTTTGGCTCCGCTGTGTCTCCTTGGCTGTTGGTGACGGCATCTCTGCCCCCTTCGGTCTCTCCTCTCTGGCTGCAGGGCACACGGGGATACCCTCCACTGCCGGAAGGCTCTGTACCGGGCCGTGCAGTGCACCCATGACTACCCAGAGCACGTCTGCGACATGCTGCTCACGCTGGAGAAAAACGAAGGTGAGCAGCGCCCGCTTCCTGCTCCGGTTGACGGTTGGGAACTTTTGAGAAGGGAGAAATAGAATGGAATAGGAATTGGGATAGGATAGAATTAGAATTAGAATTAGATTTAGATTTAGAATAGAATAGAAATACATGAATAGAATAGAATAGAATAGGAAAGAATAGAACAAATTTTAGAATAGAATAGAAAATAGAATAGAATATAGAACATGGAACGGAATGGAATATAGAATATACGATATAGAATAGAATTCTTTCTTGGCGAAGTCTGATTGGACACACAAGGAATTTGTCTCTGGTGCCGAAGCTCTCGGTGTACATAAAAATAAAAAATACGTTCATCCAGAATCCTCCTTTCCTCTCCTCTCGCAGGCACTTTAGAAGACTGGGATGCAGCGGTTGAGAGGACAGAAACCCGGCTGGCTCGAGTGAAGGAGCAGAGAGCAAAGGTGGGGAAACCCCCCCCCGGAAACCCCCCCTCTTGGGGTGGAGGGATCTCTGGGTGAGGGTCTTACCTGCTCTTGGAAAATCTTCTCTGGTGACGAGCAGAAAAAAGTCGGGGATGCGGCTGAACCAGGAGGCAGGTGCTGGGCTGCTTCAGAGTGACGGGCACGGTGGAGGAGGAGAGCAGCCTTCAGCCCCCTCTGGGGGGATTCGGGGTGGGGGGGGTTTCCCTCCGAATTCTCTTGCCCTTGTGGAGGGTCGGCATGGCCCCCAAAGGCCTCCCGCGTTCCCTTCCGGCCTTGCCTCCTAACGGGCACCCTCTCGCCTGGCTCGACGGCTGATTTACAGGTGAATAGAATTAGAATAGAACAAATATTAGAATAGAATAGAATAGAATAGAATAGAATAATAATAGAATAGAATAGAACAGAACAGAACAGACTCTTTATTGGCCAAGTGTGATTGGACACAGAAGGAATTTGTCTTGGTGTAAATTCAACAGAGTTGGAAGCGACCTTGTAGGTCATCTAGTCCAACCCCCACCCCCACCCAAGCGGGAGGCCCTACACCACTTCTGGCAAATGGGTCCAGTCTCCTCTGGAAAGCCTCAAGCAACGGAGCCCCTTGCACACTTCCTGCCCACAAAGCTGCAGCCATGAAAGGGGCTGCGAACGTCTTGCAGGGCCCCGGGTGGATCTTCTGCTCACGGGGCCGTTTGCCCTTTCAGGCGGCAGCGAAGGAGGCCGCCCTGGCCAAGCAGGAGGAGGAGAAGGCGAACCAGCGCAAGCAAGCCCAGGCCCAGAAGAAGGCCCTCCAAAAGGCCCAGCATCCCAAGGCCGGCAACAAGCGGAAGGCAGACGGCGATGGCGAATGGGTGGAAGAAGGTATAGCGCCAGCCTGGCTTTGGCCCTGTGGGGGGGTGTTTGGTGCTTGACCCCCACAAGAAACATTGGAATTAGTGGGAGGGGAGAATCCTAGCTTGGTCCTCCTTCCGGGGTGGGTAAAACGAGGACCCAGATTGCTGGGGGCAAATAGGCCGACTCTGTAAACCGCTTAGCGAGGGCTGGAAAAGCACTTTAAAGCCGTCTATAAATCTAGGCACTGTTGCTATAAGGCAGACCCTTGCGGAGGGTCTCCGCCATCGTGCTAGAACGGATCAAGCGCCCGGGTTCAGCTCAGTGGGCACAGAGGCAGCCTGGCCAGGAGAGAGGCCCCCCTCAAATGCCTGGGAAAGGGTTGGGTACGGGTACCCCAATACGGCCCCTCTCAGGGCTGCTTTCGCGCTCGTGGATCGGTGGCTGGGAGGGGGAGCCCCTCAGGGGAGGAAGGCAGCCGCGTCCTTCGCTTGCGCGTCCTCTGCGGCCACAGAGCTTTTAAAGGTAAGAGCTGGTGGTGCGTGTGTGGGGGAGCCAGTGTTGTCCAAAGACATTTCTGGGGTCGCGTAACCAGTGTGACCCTATGCCGAGGGCACACACAACGCTCTTTCCTTCCCCATTGGCTGGCATAGGTTGCTTTCAAACGGCTGGGTCAGAGATCCCAAGACTGGTGGGCTTCAACTCCCAGGATTCCCCCAGCCAGCATGGCTTGCTCTCTTGGGATCCCTTCCTCTGCAATCTCTCCTCTTTGGGGAAGAGGAGGAAAAGCAACCGACACGGCTGGCTGGCTGGCTGGAGAATTCTGGGAGTTGAAGTCCACCGGTCTTAAAAAGTGGCCACGGTTGGGGACCCCTGGGCTTGGGGCTGGGGAAGTTAACGGGAGCTCAGCCTGTTGCACTGCGCTTGGGTCTCAAACGCAGACAGTCCGCTTCCTAGCTGAGGCATCGCCGCCACCTCCCCTCACCCGGGGAGGGGTCCTTAGCGACCTCTGACGCCCTCCCTCCCTCTTCCCCTGAGCAGAAGCACCCTTCAGGAAACAGACGAGGTACTTGTCCGAAGAAGAACTGCAGGAACTGTACGAGGAGGAGCTGGAGCAGAACATAGACCTAGAGGTTGAGCTGGGCTTTTTTGGAAAGAAGGACGCCCCCAAAGTGCTCCACGACAGCAAGAAGGAGGGTTTCACCGTCTTCGTCAGCAACCTCCCCTACCTCATGGGCAAGCCGGAGAAACAACTCCGACGCCTTTTTGCCAAGTGCGGGGAAGTGGCCGAGGTCCGCCCCATCTTCACGAACAAGGGCTCCTTCCGCGGCTACGCCTACGTGGAATTCAAGGACGAGAAGGCGGCTCTGCAGGCCTTCGAACTGGACCGGACCTTGGTGGGAGGCAGGCTGATGTTTGTGTCTCCCTACGTGGATAAGAGCAAGAATCCGGATTCCAAGGTAACACACACACACACACACACACACACACACCCCGGTGGGAGTTGGGGGAGGCAGGGTCAGCCAGTCCGCTTGCAGAAGCGGCAGCGGCTCCTGAAGGACACAGAAACGGACGTGGGAGATTTCCCTTTGGGCCTGAGGTCCCCAAGCGAGGCAACTTCAAGCCTGGGGGACTTTGGGGAAGCCTCCCTTTGCTTTGCTGACTGGGGAACTCCGGGAGAGCGCACACGCACACACGCACACCCCCCGGGCCCGTGCTTGAGTGCTCTTCCCTGGCGTTCTTCTCCCTCCTGAAGGTGTTCAAGTACAGCACCAATCTTGAGCTGCACAAGCTGTTCATCTCTGGCCTGCCCTTTTCATGCACCAAGGAGGAGCTGGAGGAGCTCTGCAAAGGGCACGGGAATGTGAAGGATGTCCGGCTGGTCACCAACCGGGCTGGTAAACCCAAGGTGGGCTTTGGGGGGAGGAACTGCCCGGCCCTGCTCCCCCAGGGCGGACCCGGTTGGAGGGCTGTGTTGGGGACAGGAGGACCCCGGTGTGCCTATCGCCTGCCTGCCTTTTTCCCTCCCAGGGCTTGGCCTACGTGGAGTTCGAGAACGAAACGCAGGCCTCCCAGGCGCTCCTGACGATGGATGGGCTGACCGTTCAGGGCCACGTCATTAACGTGGTCATCAGCAACCCTCCGTCCCGAAAATTTCCCGAGAAGCCGGAATCCCAAAGCCAGGATCCGAGTTCCCAGAAGGCTCCTCACAGGTGAGCGTTTTGAACCCGGCACGCCAAAAAGGGCTTTCTTGGACCTTGTCTTAAGCGAAGGGCGTTTCTTTAACCTGAGCGGCTTGGCGGTGTTTCCACCTTGGAACTTTCCAGGTTGCTGGGAAGTCAGTTGGGGTTTTATTTTAGGTGTTTTTATACTTACTTACAAACATCCGCTGGGTTTTTTAAAAAGATAATTATGTGGCATTCCGACCATAGAGAGGCAGAAACACGTCTTTGGAAGCTGGGAAACCAACCAAGCCAGATGATGGATTGCTCCAAAGCAGCTGGCAGCTCAGTTCTAAAACTAGGATTGTGGTCTAGTCTCGTTTTGAGAAATTGGGGTTCTGGCTGCTGCCTGGTGGGCTCCCCCCCCAACATCCAATCTCCTGCACCCCTTTTGTAAGTGCCCTCGATCTGCTCCTTCCACAGACGTCACAAGCCGAGAACCCAGCTGTCGATGGTCCCTCGCGCCTTGCAGCGTCAAAGCAACCCAGAAAACAAGGCGGAGAACGGCACGCTGCAGAACCCGCCCGCCAAGCCCTCCCCGTCCGGGGAAAGGCCCAAGATGATGACCAACGCGGACTTCGCCAAGCTGCTCCTGGCTGGTCTTTCCCCGTAGCAGACGCTGCAGTCCATCACGGCTCCCCTCCTGTTCTAATTCGGACTTTTGTGTCCGCCAAACGCCTGAAGAGGGAAGGGTCGATTCCCCCCCCCCCTTTGAAGTACCGTAGGGCCAAGTTGTTGAGTTGGGGCTGCAGGTGCGAGGAATTTGTTGAAAATGGCTTTAAATGCTCCCTCATATTGGGGGGTTTATGTGGCAAGCGCTCACTTTCGAGGCTGAACACAGTATGTTTTAATAGTTGGGTTTTTTTCAGCTGTTCTCCAAGTGAAGAGTTTAATGTGAATTGAGCCTCGATCTGGTTTATACAAAGCCCACCGCAGGCGCTGAGCTACGTCGGGGAGCCTTGCGACGCTGCCTGTGTTGTGCGCAAAAAAAAGGCCCCGGAACGAGTCCAGCGCCTCCTCGTGTACGAAAGGAGTATAAATAGCAGATGCGAGAAACTTCACCATAATGGCCTATTTTCATATTGGGAGGCAAAGGGCTTGGCGTTTCTGCCGGCCCGTTTGCTCAAAGTTGAGTCTGTTTTTATATATATATATATATATATATATATATATATATATATATCTGTACGTAACTCACACCCGTCTTTGTGGAAGTGACAAGCCCACGCTGGCTGCTTTTGAGCTTTTGTTGACCCGGCACTTGAGGGAGGGACCCACTGCCCAGCTTGGAGGTTTCCGTTGTGAGGGTCTCTAGCCAGGCCCATTTAGGTTCTTGAGATGTTTAGCTTGCAATGTTTCTTTCTTTTTTAAAGAAAAAATTTGCATACAATATAAAGCGTGAGCCTTCATTAAAATTCTTCTTGCAAGTTGACTGGAGTTGTTGCCTGCTTGACCTGCTGAATCAAGATGAGAGAGATGGGCTGTTTCTCTGAAACAGAGAAGATCCTAGGGTATTTAAGGAATTTTATTTTTTTGCATTTTGAACCTTTAATGGCAATTCTCAGGGGGCCCCTCCCTCACCCCGTTTGTTGGACTTCAAATCCAATAATCCTGTTTTGTAGATAGGCAGGGCCTGGGTGCCCGGAGGGGTTAACGGGGCTGCCGGCTTTCCCACGTGCGTTGCTCCTACCTCAGCATCTGGGTTCAGGAGCGATCCCCGAGTCACCTCTGCGTCATGCAGGCCTGCTGAGGATCGCTGCCAACAAGGAGTAGGAAGCAGGGGGGGCATGAGGAAAAACACCCAGTCCCTCGTTCACAAAAGCAACTCACAGCAACAGACAATTCTGCTCCGTTACTCGAAAACTAAACAAGATCACACATGAAATTCCAGTGCTGCCTGTCTTTATTTTGAGTTAACTGTTTATGGGTGCCTGTAGAACGGCGCTAATTTTGCATACCTGGGAGCTGTGAGGAGAAGGTGCAGTCCTCATTTAAAAAAAAGAAAAGGTCAGAGTTCAGGAAAACCTTTATTGCAACCCACCAAATATGCACACTTTGCAAAACTCAGGCGCTGCTCGTATTTCACACACTGCATTGTGGTTGTACTTGCCTGGCTTGCCTAAGAAGTAGACTAAGAAGGGCGGCCGTCCCCTCCCCGAAGTCTGGGCCTACTTAAGGTTGGATCACGCCTGTCCCAACGCTTGGGGGTTCTTCCCGGGGGCAACCAAGATGGCAAGAGGGGGAGCCAGGAAGAGGGGCAGCCATTGTGGGTGCAGAGTTTGCAGCTTAACAAAAAGCCCTCCCCCCCCCCCAGCCCCCCCATCTCAAACCTTTTCTCCTTTGAAATCTCAGGCAACGCTTGTACATTCCAAGTAGGAGAAACCTAAAGTGCTATCGGAGGAGGAGTTTAAAGAGCCTTCGACTTTCGGTATTTGAGGCTGGATAAGCTTTTTCCACAGACAATATCACAACAGAGCCAGCCAGCAAACGTGGGTTATAGGAGGGTAAGAGGGGGAGCCTCCAACTTCCAGAAGACTCTGCAGCGCTACTGCGTATTCGGTTTCTTACGAGTTGTTTATTTTTGTTTTGTTTTTTGGCTTGCTTTTAAGGATTAGACCAAAGCCCACAGACTTCTCTTTAGGTTCTGGCCCGAACGGAGACCTTCTGGAGTGGTTCTGCTGGAAAGGGTGCTGGGGGAAGAGCTAAGGCACAATTCAGTACAAGTACAAGTCCCTATGAAGGCACTGGCAGGCAGGAAGCTGGTTTGGTTTTAGATGTGAAACCGCCACAGACAAATGGGGGCGGGGGGGTGGGGGCAGGTGAACCTGCAGCTTTGTGGGATTCACACAAGCTTCCTTCCCCACTTCCTCCCCATGCACTAGCAAACCGAACCAACCCCAAGACTGCGTCAGTTCGCTAAGGACACCAGTGAACTCAACCAGGCTTGGCCGGGTAAAGGAACGGCCACATTTTCCATACCTGACTGTAGCCAAGAAAGCTGACCGTGGCTTGGATTTTTGCAGCTGAAGCAGTCCCACTTGACCAGACAACGCCAGGCAGAGAAGCAGCTCTCTGGCCGGTCCCCTTTTGCAATAAAATTAGACAGGTTACTTGGGGCCGTTTGGGGGGTGGGGGTAATAAATATGGAGAGGCCACTGCATCAAACGGTTTAACTTAATAAAGACATAAATAAATGAAATGTTCTACAGAAAAAGTGCTTCCCCGGCTCTCCTCCCACAGGGGGCGCCCTTCGCTACCAGCCTTCAGGTCCGAGTTTTGAGCGAGATGGTCTGTTTGCAACCCGCGCTGCTGCTGCTGCCGCCGCCGCCGCCCCCATCCCGCGCTTCAGGGAGGCCCACCGAATGCTCCGTGGTCGCAAAGAGCAGCATGTCGAGGGTGGTCTCCGTGCACTTGGCGATCAGGCGGATGAAGGGCCGGACATCGCCTTCGTTGGCCACCTCCAGGGCGTGGTAATACTCCGCCCGCTGCTCCTTCCGGATGGTGATGGGCGGGTAGCCGGCCTGCATGAGAATCAGGTTCATCAGGAGCCGGGAGGTCCGCCCGTTGCCATCCACAAACGGGTGGATGTACACCAGCTTGTAGTGGACCAGCGCGGCGAACTCGACCGGGTGCAGGCCCATGGCGTCCTCGGAGTTGATCCACTGCACAAACTCCAGCATCTGCTTCTCCACATCGCGCGGATGGGGCGGGACGTGGTGGCCGACAAACACCTGGGTAGTCCTGAACCGGCCCCCTTCGACGGGGTCCACGAAGCCCAGGACCCTCCGGTGAATCTCCAGGATGTCGAGCAGGCTGACGGAGCCGATGCGAGACAAGAGGGTGGTGTTGACGTACTTCATGGCGGCGTGCATGCCGATGACCTCGTTCTGCTCCTCCAGGCTCTTCCCGGGAACGGCGTATCGCGTCTCGATGATGTGCCGGATCTCGGCAAGCGTCAGGGTGTTGCCCTCAATGGCCACCGTGTGGTAGATATGGTGGTAGTAGGACTCCTCCATCACCCTCCGCAGGGCCGAGCTGCCCTTGGGGATGGACAGGACCTTCTGGACTTTGCTGTCGATGATGCTGAAGAACCTCTGGTCGATTTCTTCCACAAGCGGCAACGTCCTGTCCCGGCTGACCAGAGCCTTCTTGTTGTGGGGGGAGATGGTCAGGGCCTTCGAGTAGAGATAGTCGGCCTGAATGATGTCCTTCTCCTCCTCGGAGAAGAGGCCGAACTCGGTCAAGGCATCCACGTAGTCGGGGTCCATCTTGAGGGCGTGCAGGAAGAGCTTTTGAGCCTTCTCACGCTTCCCTTGTCTCTTCATCTCCAACGCCTGGTGTAGCGCCGCTTTGGCTTCCAATCTGCCCTCTGAAATGAAGAAACCCCCGTTAGGAGCCACGTATTTTATTCAGCAATGCATTTGGCAGAGGCATCTAGATTAGGGGTGTCCAACGCGGCAACTTTAAGGCCTGTGGGCTTCAATTCCCAGAATTCCCTCAGCCAGCAATGCTGGAACACCCCCGATGTAGACACTGGATTTCATGCTGTTTCAGTTAGCTTATCCCGGGCTTTGTACTGAAAAGCTAAAGTTAAGGTGAGCTTGAAATCAGCTGGCTAAGAAATTCAGGAAGGACGAAAGGAAACGGCACTTCTCAAAATGCCAAAACGCAAAATAAGGGGTGGTCTCTGCTTAGGCCCCCCTTCCTCCACCGAATGCCTCTGCACGCATTTAGAAGGAGCTCCTAACATTCTCAGTCAGAATTCTGGGAACCGAAGTCCCAACATGTCAGCACAGAGGAGACAGCAGGAGGGAGAGGTTAGTGAGACCGTTGGCTTATAACCTTCAAGGCACCACACAAGCCACCCCCGAAACGAATCATATCAAAGGGAGCTCCAGGTGTCAGAAACGGCCCTGCTGGGAAGGCCGTCATCTTTAGAGAGGAGGAGGGGGGGGTCCTGGGGGCTCCTGAGCTGGGCTGTTTCCTTGCAGACGTTTCATAACCCAGCCAGGCGACTTCATGCGTGCGAGTAACGCCACCACCAAGGAGCCCTCATTCCAACCCACAAACATTCTCCCTTTATCGGTGCTTCTTTCGGAGTGCGGGACTCCCGGGACGAACCTGGGGATACTTTGGGCTTCAGCACCATTAGCTCCAAGCCGCCGGAGGTCACGCTGAGCTCGGTGGTCTGCCCCGTGTAGGTGGCGATGCCCACGTAGCCCAGCCCCAGCTTGCTCCGGAGGAAGGCCCAGCCCTTCAGGGCTGCCTGGACCTGGCCGTCCAGCAGCAGCACCGGGAGCAGCACCACCAGCAGGGCCGCCAGCAGGGCCACCAGCACCGCCGGCCAACGGGCCCGGAGCCAGAGGGAGACCCATTTCAGCTCTGGCTCCACCGCCGTCACCGCGGCTGCCATGGACACCAGCTTCATCTGGGTGCCAGGCACAGCGGGTGTCGCATCGTCCTTCTGGAGGGTCTCACCTGCGGAAAGAAGGAAGGGAGGAAGGGGGGGGATTAGAAGGGAGTCCCACCCACCCACCCGAGTCCTCGCCCCCTTCACACAACCCATCAGACCCGGGTCTTGGCTGGGGAAGCCACCACTAACCAGCTTTGCTGGCTGGGGACTTCTGGGAGTTGAAGTCCGCCAGGCTTAAAGTGGCCAAGGTGGGAGACCCCTGAACTAGGCCTTGGAAGCAAAGGCCCCCCTGTTCCCCCCGCCCAGCCTGCCCCCCCTCCCCCCTTTCCCAGGATGCCCCATCTACGCCTCCCCCTTCCTCTGCCCCCCCTGGTCCTTCCCCCGTCTGACCCCTCCCCAGATCTGCCCCCCCGGTCCTCCTTCCTTCCCCCCCTCCCTCTAAAAGACCCCCTTCCTTCCCTCCCCACCTCCCCGCCCTTACCCAGAGCCGGCTCCCTCTGCCCCACATTCCTCCATCCCCTACCAAAGTTTCTCTTCCGGCTCCGCCCCTCAACACGCCCTTCCTCATTATCCCGTCCTTCGATTGGCCGCCACGAGGCTCACTTCTTCCGCCCCACCTTCACCGACGGGCCCCTCTTCTCCTTCCATTGGCTGCTCCGGCCTGTCGATCTCCCTCCGTGCCCCGCCTCCTCTCGGGGAGGCCGAGGGAGGAGGTGAGGACGCACGGCCCGAGAGGCGTCTTCGTGGAGGAACGCGATTGGCTTATCTCCACGTCCATCGGAGAAGGCGGCTTTGGGCCAATGGGGAGGAGGTGGAGGCGGGGCGCACGGATTTTTTTTTAAAAAAAAAGGAAGTGCGTGGTCAAGGAGACGGAGTGGGGGAGCGGAGGAGGCGCAAATTGCCCCACTTTTCTCTGGCGGGGGAACAAGAAGGGGACCGGGGCGGCCGCAAAGACCCCCTTATCTGGCGAACGCCACTCGCTCCAAATAGGACAACTTCCGTTGCGGGAAGCAGCGGCCATGTTAGTTTTGGGCAAAGAAGTGAAGTGTTTCGTCACATCCGGAAAACTGAAACGTTATGACGTCATTTCCCCAGACTTGCCAAGGCTAACACGGGAGCCCTATGGCACGTCAGAAGCGGAGAAAGACGCGCTTCTTCATATTAGAGACTCGGTTTTATGATGAAATCCGCGTCTTTGTCGCTTTCTTTTTATTTCTTTTTAAGGAGGGCCCTTGGCTGGATTGATTATTGAATGAAATCACTGCAGCAATTAATACATATTGAAATATGTGTATTATATGATTTGTGGCATGCATGTATCATGTTGAAAGTAGATGTTCTTATTTTGTTTCTAAATAAATATATATAGAAAAAAATATAGTTGCTTGGAGTTGCAAATGGCTTGATGGTACCAAATTATATTTAAACAGCTAATGAAACAAGAATAGAAGGAATTAAAACACTGCCTGGAAGGAGCAGGTTGGCAAAGCTTTCCTCTCCACCTGCAGAGCAAAATTGGTGCTGCAGGTGGGGAGTTTTCAGGCCGGGCAGCAGCCAGGCAGAGTCCCTTGCCGAGAGAGGGCAGCAGAGACTGGCATTCGCTGAGCCGTTTCCTAAATCTTCTGTTACGGATCTTGACATTGCCATAACAGTGAAAATGGTTGGCAAGAGACCAAGCAGCTTCTCTACCTGGTTACAACCAGAACAGGGATTTTGAGTCAGCTGTCTTGACTGTTTTCCCTAAGAGGAGAGGGAATTAAAAATAATGACACTTATTGACAGGTGGATTAATTGTGGGAAAAGGCTTAGACTCCACCATTCGTTTACTCACCAGGCTGATCCACGACATATTTCAAATGTGCAGAGTTTTCTTCCATAAGGGAAAAGAACAAATAAAACCACAGAACCCGTGGTTGCTTCCGATTTATCTGTCTCCAGCTCCTCCAATGGAGAGAAGGATATCCAATAATTGATCTGTTTATTGTTTGCGGAAAGATCAGCTTGCCAAATACCTTTTGCCAAAGCATGAGATTTTCTGGTAATGGTCCCAGTTTCCCAGTTGTTAGTGGTTCTCTGTGTCCCTGGCCAGTCAGGGGGCATTTCATTTTAGCTTCTACCCCCTCCTCTTCTATTTAGGAAGTACCTTGACTCGGTTTGTTGGCTTGGATGTGGAACGGAGGGCCTGTGATTCAATGACTTTGTGCCCACCAGAGTGAAACACCTACGAATGTCTGACTCTATCTGGGAGAGGCAGCCAAACCTTTGACTTGCCTTGAGCAAAGGGTTGGACTACATGATCTCTGAGGTCACTTCCAGCCCTAAGATTCTATGAGATGCCCAGTGCAGAAAATGTCCTTAGTCTCAGCTGAGAGACCTGCCCTGCCAGACTCTTGAGTTACAGCTTATTAACTACTGGAAATGTTCTGCCTCAACAGATCCAGTTTCCCTTGACCTGGCTATCCATCAGAAAGCAGGGGGCAAAAATATTGCTGTGAGATTTTTAAGACTGCAAATCAGGCTTAGACCTGGAAATCTGGTGTGCAGCCAATGGCAGCAGAGAGACACGTTGCAAAATGTTGAATTGCTCAACTGAACCTTGATCAACGAGATGTTCCAGAGAAGAAAATCCGGGCGGTTCTTTTTTGATAACCAGAGTTGGCAAAAGGCAGTTCAGCACCTTGGACAGAAGCCATGGCCACCAACACCTGGCCATTGGCAACGTGTCTTGGCTTTTGGCTGTGGTCACCCTGGCCTTCCCAATCCTCAAGAATATAATGGCATATTTTTGGAAGGATCGTGCTGTTTATTGCAGGACATTTGCATAACTCTTATGCCATCATAAATTGCCTTTTTGCTGCAGTTGCCATTGGTTATAAAGACAACGTAGTGGCTCTCCTTGCTGTTCCCAGCTCTGCCATAAGTTTCTCTCTAGCACTCAGCCAAAAACAAATGCATCTCTTCAGAAAAAAAGGAACATTATTTTTTTTCTATTATGCTTTTTAAAAAAAAGGAAATTCAAAACATAATTTGCTTTTGTTTTACCCACGAATGCTTTCGTCTTTGAAATGACTCTCCAGTTTTTCCTTCGGTCTATCATCTCTTTCAATATATATATTTGCTTGTTTGGCTTATTTATTCTGAGTGCCTTTCTGTTAAAAAGATGAGAGAATTAATTCAGTAAAACAGCAACAGGAGAGGAATGTTCTGGGATTGGGAGAAACCTAGAGGGCCCCTAGGATCATCTGAATTGGCTAATAAAATAGGGAGCAGCTCCTACAGAAGACCCTCCTCACCTTCCATCTCCAGAGTTTTGATTTGTCAAGCAATCTCCCTAATTGGGAAGAAAGCTTTTCATTGCATCCCCGCATTTATCCAATAATCCTCATCTCAGGATGCTTGAAATGCAGAATTGATTTAGTTCCCAAGGTCTGATCAAATTAAGAGGAAGCTCAAATTAGCTGGCAAACACATCATTAAGACATAAGCTGCAAAGGCCTGTAAGAGCACAGGAAAGGAAAAAAGGTCCTTTCCATAGATGAGGTGAAATAAGAGAAGAGGAAGCTTTTGTGGTTTGGACTTTTGTGGGTCCCTTGTTCTGTTTTTTGTTTAAATAAAAAAAAACAAGTTGTCATTTACCCTTATTGGAAGGAATGGATACAACAAGCCTACCTGGAAGGTGGTTGTGATTGAGAGCTGCATACAGAACTCCAGGCCAAGCCTGCAGACTTTTAAAAATTCATTATTTCTGCCTCAATGGATGGCCAAGCCAAATAACAGGACCAATAGAACAGAATCTTTGTCGCTCAGGGTTGAACTGTGGGGTTGTTGGTGCCATCTGAGCCTGGTTGTTTTCTTGCAGACATTTCATGACCCAACTAGGCAACATCATCAGTATTAGGTGGTGATGACGTTCACTAGCTGGGTAATGAAACAGGGTCTATAGGAAAACGACTACGCTCAGAGGACCCCACAATTCAAACAATATGAATCGTAATAGCCTGGGAAATCATGGATCGGAGGACAAAAATCCAGTCTAAGCATCTGGCCTACTGGGTGACCAATCACCATAACAATGCCATCATATTGACAGCTGTCGCAGTGAGAGGACCTGGTGGATTTAGGATGCTTTGCCATCACCAGGGAAGCAAGAAGGAGGAGGAGGAGGAGGAGGAGGAATGGGAGCGTTAAATAGCCCCCCCTTTCCCCTTCATTTCCAAGACCATCTGTTGTCCCCCAGCATCTCCTGTCACTGTAGTTTCTCTGCGAAGTGCCTGACAGCTGCTTCCACAGCAAGTGCCTCGGGGGGCTCTATGATCTCCTCTCCACGTGGAACCCTTTGGGGGTTCGGCCCCAACACTCTCCCTGTCCGGATCATCCCTTGTCAGCCAAGAAAGCCTTGGAGGAGTTTCGGTTTGAGTGGCGAGCTGGGGAAAACTCTCACTTCAGCCCCAGCACTGTGCCAGAGGCAGAGAATGGAGAACGGCGTTTCACCCGGAAACCTCTCACTAAAAATGACTCCAACTTGGTGGCTTTCAGAGCTCTGGGCTGGGCATGCAGAAAACAAGCAAACAAACCATGATTTGTTGAGCTACAAGGTCAGCCTGTTGGGACTAAGGGTATTCCGTTCTCTTTGGGTCAGTCCTTCCAGCAAGAAGGGGAATGAGATCAGAGGAAAAACCAGCTTCCATTTGTTATTTCTCTTTGGTTTTAAAAGCTTCTGTTTTTCTCATCAAAGTCCGGGAAATGGAGATTCTTGTGCTTCCTCTGGGAACGTTCACACCAACAGAACCCGTTTCTTTTCCCAACCAGGCTGGCAGGAACCCACCCACCTTCTCCTTCCTCTGGTGGGGTTAAAAATAGAAGCAAACGAGTTTAAAGCAAGTTACCCTATATATTTCTAACTCCCCCTCCCCAGGTTTCCATGGCAGCCAAAAGGAAGGGAGGGAAGGTTCCTTTGCTTCAGACATCAGAGAGAAGGACGTTGCCTGATGCTGCCTAATTTTTCCTCCTTTCTTTTTAATGGGGGGCAGACAGTTTTTCTGCTTCTGGGGTTAATCCATTGCTGCAAGAGATTCTGTCCTCTTTCCTTTAAGGCGTCTCCTTTGAGATATTCACATGTGCAGTGGCAAAAACTCCCAGGGGCACAGTGGTTTCAGATCTTAAACTTTCCTTTTTTTAAAAAAAGCAATCAAGATTCTAGTCCACATCGTGGGTGTCAAGAGATCAGCGCACCTGGAGCAGGGCTGGCAAGCCAGCTCAACCGCAAGGAATATGTTCTGATAGTTTGATGCATCTGGAGGGCGGAGCTCGGAAATATTTTGGCCTAATGTTCTCTCCTCTCTTAGGAAAATTGGGCTGAGCTGAGTTGAGTTGTTGGACCATTCTCGACTGGGTCTAGCCTGTGAATTAAGAGTTGAGGGGAACCCAATCCAGGCCTACAGAAAAACTCAAAAAGGTCTTGTTTTTAATGACTTAGTTACACACATTATGTGCGAGGCGGGATTCTCACTGCT